AACTAAGTTCATAACTCAAGTCCTATCATCTTTAGTATTTTATGTCCTAGCAAACTGATAACCTCCAGAGATGATCAGTTTGGCTGATCAATGAATGCTATTCCTTGAACCCAGCTTTTAGTTAGATAGTTCTCTGGTCTACAGAGATGACTTTAGCAAGGTGCTATAGCCAGCAATACCCTGGACGTTGCTGGCTAAGTAACCACTTCTAGTTTGACACATTTCAAATCATTTGGTCAATCGACAGTGTTACTACACTTTCACTTTAGCTTTTATCACAATCATTTCTTCTGACATCGGTCTGACAAGTCTAAAAACTAATTTAACTTAAATATATAACCAAACTACTAAGCCATTCAAACAGCTTACTGCTGAGCTTGGAGACATAGTTAAAACATGACTTTGAATTAGTTTTCTCACCAACATCACAAATAATGATTTGCTGATACAGATAGAACCTTATAACGCCTACTTAGGATGCAGTTTGAAAGAACGAACCAAATTTAAAACACAGACTATAAGATGCCTCTTTTAAAAAATCACCACAGCATCAACTGTCAGCGCTAAATGATTAATGTCTGTTTTTGTTAGTATTTCATATACCGTCCCAACTTTTTTGCAAATGAAGTTTGTGAATATAATTCAGGACAGTAAGTGAGGGATAAATGTTTTAGCTGAAATCAAATTTAGCTCAAATTTATATTTCACAGTGAAACAGAAGTAAAGCAGAACTGTGATCAACTCATCTATTTGAATAATCTACATTTAAGGACAACTGCCCCCACAATATTAGTAGGAGAATAGTACAGTTCTATCCTAAACACATTTTACTGTTCACCATGAGAAAAGCTGTTTACACAACATGCAGCGTTCCTTTGAAAATATTTTTGCTACTGATGTTAAGGAAGGGTTCCAATTATAATCTGTATTATTGTACCTTGGTATAGCTGTATTCAGCTGAAATAACAATTCTGGGGAAAAACAGAAACAGAGATGTGCTGTGCAGCGGCGGCTCCAGCTGATGACATGAAACGTCCATGGCATGCCTTTCTATCTTGGCCACACCTCTCTCCTCTTCCCACGCCCCCCAAATCAAGAAGAGGTCAAAACTGATGCCTAAACAAAAAAGAGTAACTGGGAAAGTACTGCAGAAAAAAAGCAGGAGCATAAAACGCAAAACATAAAGAAAAAATAATTACACAAAAGATCTATCTTAAAAAAAGTGTTGCAAGAGAAGAAAGGTAGCACAATTTCTCTTGTTTGTTTGCAATATCTAATAATTTTTGCAACTGACTGAGACCACATTTTTTGATAGTTTTATTTTCTCGTCACTATTAAAGACCCCAATTTGACTCCATAGTTCTCTCTTTAGTCCTACCATTCCTCTTAAGTTAAGACTGAAGCTGAAATACACCCATTCTCGCTTCATGTTTGTTGAAGTCATGGAACTGTCAAGGGTGCAAATTTTGTCCAACAAATGTGTGTGGGGGGAGGGGTTGTGATGGTGGACATCAGATGGCTATAGGTTACTTCAATTCAGATGTCTAGAATTGCATTTATTATTTTGATACCCCATGGTTTATATGTCAAAACACATAAATAACTAATAACAGAAATAATCTATCTATCTGCATGTTACTATAAATATTTAAGCAAAATGCCCGTTATGATAACTATGATGATAAGTAAGAAGTGGAAAAACAATTAATAACAGTTATAAGTCAACAAACTATCATAGTACAGTAAATAGTGCTGGAAACAATTTCAGGGCAGATTAGTTCTTTTTCCTTTTGTTGTTACTGACTATAACTAAACTAAACAACAAAACCTATTTTGGGATTTTTATTTGAGTTTTTGTGCCCTATATGCCTGGGAAATATTTCCATAACACAAATTTAGAGTGTTTTCTAGTCTTGTTGGGATATCCATATATTAAAGAGGGCAGAGGAGTATTCAATCTACAACGGTTAAAATCACCCAAGATAAACACTGGAGCTTCAAGGTATTTGGCTAGCATGTTGTTAGCCACCTCAGTTGCTAGCTCTGCCGCTGCTCTGTTGTCAGTGCTTTGTGTAACATATAGACACAGCTTACAACAATAGTAGGGAATTCTCTTGGGAGTAAAAAGGATGGAGGGAAAGAGTCAGCATTTCCAGATTTGGAGTGCATATTGTGCATTTTTACACTGATGCACCATCTGTTATTTACATAAACACAAGTTCGGTCAATTCAGAAGATATTAGCAAGACTGACCTCAGCATCAGAGGCTTCCCCCATCAAGCCAGGTCTCCGTCAGGGTGATAATGCAGGCTTCCTTAAAGGCTCTTTCCACACAGTGTCGTCTCAGCAGAGCATGAGCCACAGTGATACACACAAGTAAGTCCTAAGCCTTGACACTCGAGTCCCAAGCAAAGTCTCAAGTCAAGACACTCATACAAGTCCCGGCAACAGAAACCAAGGTGAACAATGTTCACAGAAAAGACAGCAAAATGATGGTAAATGTACGAAGCTGAAGTTCTTATTCGAAAATGTTGCCACAGTTGCTGGAATGTAACTGCTGCACCATTTAAGGTGAAACAGCAAATACAAATATGAAGCTGGCGATTAAAAGGTCAACCTGAGCCTCATGGTGTGTGATGTGCTTGTTTTAAGTGCTGAAGCAAATAAATCAGACAAAGAGAGAGAACTCTGTTCTGCCACCATGAGGAAAATGATCAGTTCACCTGATAACTTGCTTCACTTCTTTCGAGCTTATAAAAGGGAACTTGAATTCTAACGCTTCTTTTCTTCTGAAATCAAATAAGCATGAGCACAGTAATACACATTTGACAGTTTTGCTGTATATCAAATTTAGGGCAGGAAAAGAATCCGTTCACATGAAAATAACTGATTATGTAGAGTCCTGTCTGCACTCAGATACCCCTCCGCATTTCTTTCACTTTGGGTCTCGAGTAATGTGGTCGTCTGTTGTTGCAGCCCATCCGCCTCAAGGTTCGATGTGTTGTGCATTCTGAGATGCTTTTTTGCTCACCACAATTGTACAGAGTGGTTATCTAAGTTACTGTAGCCTTTCTGTTAGTTCAACCCAGCACTCTCTCATTAAGAAGGCATTTCCATATGCAGAACTGCCACCTGGATGTTTTTCTTTATTGCACCATTCTTAGTAAACTCTACAAACTGTTGTGCATGAAAATCCCAGGAGATCAGCAGTTTTAGAAATGCTCAAACCAGCCCATCTAGCACCAACATGCATGTCATGGTCAAAATCACTGAGATCACATTTTTTCCCATATTCTGATGACTGATGGGAACATAATCTGTGACTGCATGATTTAATGCACTGCATTGCTGCCACATGACTGACTGATTAGATAATTGTATAAATGAATAGGTGTACAGGTGTTCCTAATAAAGTGCTTGGTAAGTGTATATAATAATTGATATCTGACAGCTATTTTGCAACTCAGCTATCTACTTTTTTCAACAACCTTCCTGCAAGATTATTTTGCACAATTTAAAAAAAGTGGAAGGGAAATGTACCACCTCTCCCCTCCTGAATTTGCAGCAATGGGTTTGTACTCCCCTAGCTAACAGTTGAAAAAGACCAACTGTTGGGTGTTAAAGACAGTCTGCTCAACAAGCAGGCGAAGGGCAGTTTGTTGAAAATAAGTAATTAAACGATTCTGAACTACATCATTTTAAAATGTTTCTGTTCCTTCCCAGCCTTAAATTTCCTGTCATATTGGAGTCTCCTTGTAGCTAATCAGTGGTCTGGAATCCTCTGATGTCCCCCAGACCCATTCTGTACAAAAACATTTACATGTATAACTATATAGTAATGTAATGAAAAATATCACATTTATATGGACTAGACTTAAATTGTCTTCATTTGCCAACTTTGTCTTTTTTACAGTGTACTCTTGTGGAAAAGCTTTACACTAGATGTTGGAACATTGCTGTGAGGATTTGACTGCATTCAGCCACAAGAGCAGTAGTGAGGTCAGGTACTGATGATGGATGAGTAGCTCTAGATCACAAACGCCACTCCAACTCATCCCAAAGGTATTGAATGAAGCACCATCACTCCAGGGTGCTTGATCAATACCTTTGGGGGGGCTTTATACCCTTCTAGCTAATAGTTAATAAAGACCAAGTGTTGGGTGTTAAAGACACTCTGCAAGTCTTATGCTAACACAAGCAGGGGGGTGGCAGGGACATTGAAGGGGTCTCATGTCATATTTGAGAGACAGAAAAGAGGTGATTAAATGATTCTTAACAGCATCATTTTAAAATGTTTCTAAACCTTTCCAACCATAAGATTTCTTTCATATTGATGTCTCCTTGTAGCTAATTGGTGGTCTGGGATCCTCTGATGTCCCGCAACTCCCATTCTGTAAATATGTGGCATATTTCTTATGAAACGAATTTGAGTGAAATTTCATTGAAGGTCCTGTTTGAATAAAATACAAAAACATAATTTATGTATTTCTTTATTTATTTATTTATTTGTCTTTTTTTATTTCTGATAAGTCATAAAACTCCAAAGGATAAACACATTTTCAAATTCTGATGGCTAAACTTTATAAGCTAAATCAGCTTTATAAACTATATATACTGTATGTATACTGACACTGTAGTTCTTCATTTTGGAGACTCCATACAAAAATATACATTATAAAAGTAGTTTATTGTATGTTAAAGTTAAGATACACACATTCCTAAATGTTTCAAATGAATTTGATTCATATGTAAATGTACATGTACATAAATGTAGATAAAACTGTAACATTATTAAACAATGTTATACATACAATCAGTTGGTGATGTGTGCAGCTGTTAGACTTGCTGGTTTTTCTAATAACATTCTCTGGCTGAGGCACATTGCAAACAGCACTCTGACAGAAAGCTCATTTTAGCTTACAGCTAATACACAGATTCACTTGTAATCATTTGATAATATGACAGTAGATTCACTCTGTAATCCTGGACTCCTTTTTTCTGTTTTCTATGAACACAGCTCCATTTCTGATGGATTACCAGCCCAGTCAGACTGCTCTGGAAAGTCCACCACCACTTTAAGGGCTACACAAAACAAAATAAATTGAAAAAAATATTTTTAGGAAACAATATTTAAGAAATGATTTTGAAACATTAAAACAAGTTTTACTGTTTTATCCCGCATGTAAACGCAGTCACTAAAGTAGCTTTCTATCATCTGAGAAATATTGCAAAAGTTTGGCCTTTTCTATCTCAGAGCAACACAGGGAAACTTGTTCATGCCTTTGCTACATATACTGCCCCCACTAGTGGCAACAGCAGCGTACTGAAGCGGTCAGCCAAGACTTCAATTTTCCCAACTTTTGCTGTCACCTATAGCAGACTCACTCAGTATTATACAACAAAACATTAACATTAAGTACAGAAAATCCTCCTGACTTTTTCTACCTTAAATAAACAATCAACACTGCGGAAAGTCTCCGATGATAACCATCCATTCTCACCCATTAGCTGTCACCATGGCAACATTTATGTGGCTGCATGTTGCTGTTGGTCATGAGTGTTTTTTTCAACATCAACATGTAAACAAAGCTCAATAATTTATATGAACTCTGCTTTATAACATTGACATAAACATACTATAAACATGTAAACATGTAACATTAATGCAGGTATAACCTGGCACAAGATTCTCTGAGCGTCAACTTCTCACTTGTAGAAACTTAAATGTTAAAAGTTGATGCTAAAAAATTTGACATTGTACTAACAGCAGCTTCAGCAAATCAATGTTTCATAGGTGCATTTAGTAGCTCAAATGGCCAAAGAGAGATCTGGATATTATTTTACTTTGCTCTTACTACAAAACACAATATATATACTCAATGTGCTGCAGACCTGACTGAGAAGTCTGATTGAGTGTGGCTAGTCTGTCTGAAAGTATTTAGATGTCCAGTCTCAGAGTTGACGTCACATAGCTTTCACTGAGCAAAAATAATTTACCTCATGTAGAAGACGATGGCTACAACTAATGTTAAATTGACTGGGTTGTAAATGAACTGGCTACGAAAGTTTTTGCTTCTGAATAACCAAGACCGCTTTCTTGATAAAGAACATTTATAAACATGCTCCTGTGAATGCTTCCTCTGTGCTGCTGAATTTGTTGTTCAGCTCTGCTGGATAGATAACTGACAAAGTAATGTTACAGTAATTCTCAGACCAAAAATGATTCTCAATGGCCACCATTCTAAATGTAAACAGTACCTAAAGAAAATAATCGAGTGGTCTTTTCTTTGGTCCACGTCAGCTAGCTAAACTCTTTCCACAGGGTAGCGTCTTCTTCTCCAGCTTAAACACAGCATGTTTAGCCCCTTCACTTCACAGGCCAGTGTCAGCTTTTAATTCAAGTTTAGTGGTATGAACACTGTGCATGTGCAAACGTCTACACATGTGAGTTAAGCTTAATGCATGTGCCAAATGTTTTTCATGACATGGGGAATTATTATGACAGATGCCACAATGTTTTATGTCATGACATGATGTCATTCTATTTTTTGTTAAGTGTATTCTAGTAAACTGCCATAGCATCAAATGTTTTGACATCTGTCATGATAATTACTGGTAACATGATGCTGTTATATTACTGGATATAAGCTGTGATGACAACTCCTGGCATCTACTACGACATGTCAGTATTATGTCAGTATTATGTAGCAGTGTTCAAGTAAAATATTACCATTTTCTTTATGGAAAAAAAAAACAACCTTGACATATCAAATAGAATTCTATATAATAAGACTTGCCTTTGATTGTGCCCACACTTTCATGACTGACCGATCCCCAGTTGTATTTTGGAGTTCTTACTGAAGCTTTCACTCGGACTCTATCCCCAGGCTTGAACTTACAGTATTCTTGATAAGAAAAAAATCACTTTAATAGGGATAAACCGTAAATCACACTATTAAACAAACTACCCACTGATCTCAGTATGGCCTGACTTTATTTAATTTTATAGTATTGTTTGTTTGTTTTGTATTTTTTTTGCTTACTGTGATTTTATCCAATAATACTTTAACATTACAGTTACAGTATTATTGGATAAAATAATAAAAGCACATCATGGTGTCAATATAACAGTGATTCTTACCTGAGTCAGCACTGGGAACCAGTTCCATTTCAGAAACTATACCATTCCATGACTTATGCTCAGGAAAATCTACAGCTATAATTTTACCTTTAACAGCTGCAGAAGGAAAGGAGGGTGAATTCTGTTAATAGTCATTATTAGCATGGTTGGCTAGAACATTATATATATATATATATCAATTGTCCTGTCTCTAATTTATTGTGATAGCTTGTTGCAATGTAGTTTAATTAAGACATAAATTGACAATTTCATGTTGCACTTTAAAGTTAAAATCAGGTGACAATAAATGAAAGATTCCCCATGGAGCTTCTTTCCTGATTACCCCTATAGAGGGGCAAGATGCTCTTTATAGGATTTTTTTGTGCTGTCACAGTAATATAGTTGCTCATCCACCATCACTCTGTGAAAGGTCTTCACCTATTTCCCCCCACAGTTGTGACATATATTACTTAATAAATGATGTCACATTTTTCCAGTAATATAAATGATCATTCTTGCCTGTAACCACACCAACACTCTTGTGAGAGGCACTTCCCCATCCATTTTTCGGAGTACTAACAGAGGCTTTCACCCTGACTCGGTCTCCAACCCTGAAGCATTCTGTAACATGGTTAGAGAGATAGTTTGATATGTAAAAAGCTATGTCAGAATCTTATCTTTGTCAAAATCTTCTAAATTTCTTACATGGCTTTTAACTCTAATTGTGTATGTTTTGTCTGTCATAAAGGACACCTGAGTCATCATAAAACATTTTCTTTCAACAATTAACACACACACCTTCTGATATAAACTGATAAATGAAGAATTCACCTTCAGTGTCTTTGCTGGACAGTAACTCCATTTCTGAGATGATGCCCTTCCAGCCTTTACATTCAGGGAAATCCACAATCACAGTGTCTTCCTTAATATCTATGAAGGGCAAGAAAATATGAGTAAATAGCAATACCAAGAGCATCAGCAAATTACTACACACATAATAAAATAAAACTGACTCACACTTTACTAATCCTGAAAGAAAGTTCAGCCAGACAGACAAAAATAACTGTCAATCACACATTTTAAAAGAAGCTATACAACATACAAGATGTTTACAAGAGACGTAAACAAGGCTATGGTTTACAGATGTGTGCTTGAATGCAAATGATTTTATCCAATATAAATCGAGGAGTGGGAAACCCTCAAGGCCTTAGAGAAGGCCTAATGATTTCTGGGAACTAACTAATAGTACGTTTATTGACATTTATGGCCTGAAATATACTACCACAAGCGTAGATTTAAGAGGGTCAGTGGGGGGCTGAGGGGAGTCTTCTTCAGTGTTTGGATATTTTGGCCTCAACACTTTTTAACAGTGTGTTGTGATAACTTTTGGTAGTTAAATTTCAACAACTATGGTTTAAACGGAGAGGGTTTTTGGTTCAACCCACATTTTCCATCACATCTTTACGTCCCTGCACACAGACTCATGGGAATTAGCATCTTTTACGCTCCTTTACAGCAGCAGACCTAGCTAGCTCCACTTTTCTAATGTTCAAGACTGTCAAGGATGTTTAAAAATGAAGTCAACTAAGCAGATGACCTGTGATAATGTAAGATACTATCAGCTTGTTATCTACTACAGTCTGTATCTCTCCTCTGGATTAAAAATACTAATGCTGTAGACCAGTTTGTTAGTGGTATCCAGCTAGTTATGTAAGTCTAGCAGATTTATTTATTTTGTTAAAACCAGATAAAAAGTTGTACATTTAAAAATGTACTGTTATTTCTGCTTGACAGTGACATATGTCCAACTAAGCTTGCCAGGTATTCTAACAAACTGTCCTACATATTGAGTGGTCCAACCAAGCATGTGCATATCATTAGTATAGCATTATAACTTTTTTAAATGTTATATTGTGTTTGTTTAATGTAAATTTAGTACAGTGTTAGCTTTACATTACTACTTAGCCCCATTAAAGTGATTTAGGCTATCAAAGTATCCTACTTATTCTATTATTTCTGGTAACATTTTCTGATATGGTGATTTAGGCAATCAAAATATCTTAAACATACATTTCAGTGCTTGCAGCATTTCCTGATAAGGTGATTAAGGTCATCAAAATATCCTATCTACAGTTTTATGTACGGAGCTACCAAAAAATATGAGCATGGTAGGACATTTTGACAAGGTACCACAATTTGTCAGAACATCAGTTGGTTACAAGTATATGATGTGCTGAGACTGATCAAAACTAATGTTTATGAAGTTAAGAGTAAGTAAAAAAGCCAGTTACAACAATGTAATGAAGGTGCAATATAATTGGTGCAAAAAAATGTCAATATTTCTAGATGACAGAGAGAATTATAGTTCAGCACATTTATTTAAATAGAATAATTGTATGTTTTCAAGGTAAAAAAAATTGCATATTAAATAATCATTTAACAGCACTTTCCTGACGTAACATATCCTTAATGCTAAACACTTATTATGGGTCAGGTGGTATGAGCAGTGGATCCTCCCCAAAGTTGAAATGGAACCTACACCACTGCCCTGCTCTAATAGTCACAGATCACCACTGAACTTGAGGTAGTGATTACTGAGATTTCTTACTAATGTGGAAATGGACACATATGTTTTGTTCCAGATCATAAAATAGCAGAATAACACAACTATTGAAGTTCTAATTTAATTTCAGATTGTGACCAGAGCAGCTGTATATTTAAAAACTGCAGGTGTGGCTGTGTGTCATTGTTACTCCATTTAGAACAAAATGGACGAAGGAAACTTTACCTCATTCATGTGAAAATGAAAATGGGAGAATTAAACAGATTCTCACCTGTAACTACACCAACACTTTTGTGAGTGACACCTCCCCATTGGTGTTTAGGAGTCACAACTGTGGATTTCACTCTCACTTTGTCACCAATATGGAAACTGTTGTTTCCAGTCAATACGCCTTAGACATGAAGAAAATGAAGATGGTGAAAGGCAAATTTCATTACGTGCCTTAAAGAAATTTACAAAAGCATGTCACTTTGGAGGTTATGAGGTTGTCGGCATTTGTTAAATGCAATCTAAACAGACAGTGTGTAGGTATGGACTCTATTTGTCCAATCATATTTAGTAGCCTGTATCACCTGAGACATCATCAGCAGACACTACTTCCATCTCGGAGACTATGCCTTTCCAGCCAGGATGCTCCGTAAAGTCCACAGTCATGGCTTCCCCATCAAGAGCTGTTCAAAGAAACTTAGCAAGTTTAGTAATGTAAATACCACAGCTTGGTGCCCCATGATTAAAGTGCAGTATACTGTGTACAGTAGGTCAAGCAGGGGTTTGCATCTTTAATATCTTAACAGCAGGCCTTACCTTTCACAACACCCACACTCTGGTGACTAACCCTTCCCCATTTGTGTTTTGGAGTGTCAACTGAAGGCTTCACCCGGACTCGGTCTCCAACCTTGATACTGCGCTTCTGAGTTGAGGCTTCTATGATACAAAGAAAGTCAATGTATTTATTAAAACTTTAATGCACAAAAGGCTGGAGTTTATTATGGTTAAATATGTTTATTATGGGTAAATATGTTCACTTATACGGCTTACTGCTTATATAAAACAGTGGAAATATATCAATAAATCATTTATTTAAAAAACAATACATAATTTAATGTCCTATTACTAACGATCAAAGAAGAAACATCAGGCTGTATATTTTAACCACAGGCTTCTGTTGCCATGCAAGTAACAGTAAACTGCATTCCACTAACAGCACAATGGCTTTTATTTACTATGCAAAGTTTCAAAGTTCAAATTTTAAGTGATTAAGAGAGACTTTTTATACATATTTCATACATCTTTTTAGTTTGAAAGCATCTCTAAAATAATAACTTTGTGGAAAAAAGAGAAAACTGTTCTTAATTTTTAATTCAGGGTTAATGTAAGAACATTTAATTCCAAATCATTCTGGACCATTTCTATTGGTCCTTTCATCATAATATATTCAATTAATACTTCTACCAAAAAAAAACTGCAAAATGGAAATGCTATGTTCTGTTTAATGTCCCCTATGTCTATACAATATCATTTACATATTTAAACATCTTGAAACATGCCTGTGCAGGTGTTTTGGTCATGAATACCTGGTTTGATGCCACCAGTCACTAGCTCCATCTCAGAGAGGTCTCCCTTCCAGTTTTCATGCCCTGGAAAGCTGACGATTAGAGTTTCACCATGCACAGCTGTGAACAGAATCAGTTTTAAAATTGAAATCCAAAATAAAAATACAGTTTGATTAGTGAAAGCACTTAACCTCACTCTCTGGGGGGGGTTATTGTGAGCACATGAAGTCCACCCAGACAGAGTGAACTCTATGAGTGTAGTTGACCCGATGAGCTAACATATAGATCTGTTGAGATGTTCATATTTAGATGTACTTTAGAATTAAACTCTGTTAGCATATGAACTGCTGAAAAGCGGAAAGTGAAAACTCTACCTTTGACCTCGCCTACACTCTTGTGCGTGACGTGGGAGCCCCAGTTAAATCTTGGCGTTTTCACTGAAGATTTCACACGAACTCTGTCCCCAATCTTGATCTGGTCTGGAGAGCTCTTTATCAATAAATCTGAAACTAGTAGAGAACAAGTGTAAGGAACCAGTTCTTAAAGACTTATTTACTGTCAAAAAGGCTTAGGGACATGATTATAGCAACTGTTTTCTTACCACTTTCTAAAATTTTGTCTGCTTCCTGTTTGGAGACCTCCTCCAGTCTCTCTTTAAAGTCAGACACTCTTTTGCTCACATTCCCAAAAGAGGCATCTAGCTCCAGTGACTGACTCGGACTGTCCTGGACTCCAGCGGGATTGGGCATGTTCTCAAAATTCTGTCAGAGGAGAGAGAAATTGGGTAACAGGCCCTAATAAACAGTACCTTACTCACTGTGTAACAGTTTGCAAATGACCGTTGGTTATTACAGTATAGCTGCATATGCATTAATAAACGCTACCATATCAATTATTAACCATTTACTGAGTGACACAAATAATTCTTGAATTATTTACCAACGGAATTATGTTACATTTATGGAAAACATTTACAGTCATTTAATTATTTGTATGTAAATAATTGTTAATTAAAATTGTAGTACATTGTTAACATTTCATTAACAATTATATAATTATTAACTAGTATTAACAAACTATAACAAGTTGCACTTTTTAGGTGCTTGTAATCATAAAGTGTTACCAAAATTTGATTATTACCTGTATTTTCCTTATAAATCACATTTTCGGTCACACCTTTCTGTAGGTCAGGTTCATAAGGCTACCTGACTTATTCCAATAATTGGCAGCTGTCATAATGGCTGCTTTTGTCAGCTTCAATGTCAAGTTGACATAACACCTATGTTAAGTGACACAGGTTTTTGCTGACATTAGATGTTGTCGTAACACTTTCTGGGGTAAACTGAAGCTCAGTGTATTAATGGTCACTTGAGCAAGTGAGGCTGGTTGCAAAATCAAACAAAGCACTTCTAAAAAGATGCTTTGACATTCTGTGGTAACACTGAAATGAAAATCTACTGTATCATAGTTATTGTGATATATATATATATATAAGTTATCTTTACAGGATAAGGAAAAAACCTACTATACTTTTAATGTAATTTAATGGAACCAGACTTTTTTCCAAGTCATTTTGGGCCATTTCTTTTGGCCGATTCATCACAAAATTTACACACAATTATTACATTTTACCAGTAGTGGAATAAAACTCACTAGCTCCACCTGATGATGTGACTTGGAGTTGCACTGCGCATGGACATGTAATTAATTGCCTCTTCATGCCAGAAAGAGAATGTAGGTTGCATAAGCTGCACTGTTGTGCATTCCTACCTAAATAGTAAGTTCAATCTTAGATCCTTGTTAATATAAGTCTGTTTATACTGTTAACATCAGTCTTAATGATGGTTTTCTTGACCTATGTAACTGTAAACCTACCATGTGGTTAAACACTAGTAATGCTAATGATTTCTGCTAAAATCCCCCCTGAGTTTTGAGCTTTAGATCTCTGAATATCAGTAATTTGCCTTGTGTATGCTGGATTTGTTGTGTTAATTGCCTCTAATTACCTGGATTATGCTGTTATGTAGCACACGTTCACATAGCTGGGTAGCCTATGCTAAAGTGCATATTGGGGCTTTCTGTGATTTCAGACCTCAGTGCTCACTCAGCTACTACCAGCAATCCTGTACTCTACTCCACCTTGTGTCCATGTTGACTCTATTGCTGATTGCGATCTTCTTTCAATACTTCCTATAATGCTTAAATGACTTCTGTTATGTCAATAAATCCCAAGTATAATTCGTTCTCTATCCAGAGTGATCCATACTGAGTTACCTTGCCAGTCAAGTTTATTCTGAAGGTTTTTCCTCCCTCACAGGCAAATTAATTGCTCCAAAAATTCCAAGCTGCTACCTGCTCATAACTGAGTGGGTGTGTCAGAATGAAAAATTATTGACGGTAACATCTTCCAGAGAAAGTAAACAACCCAGCTCCAGTGGCAGTGGCCCTGTAGAGCCCTACATGTTTGAGCTTTACCCACAGAAAAATAGAGCACTTTACTCTTCTCTGCCGCTCTCGGAATGGTGAGTAAAACGTGCAAAATTTCAGAGAGGTCATTAGATTTTGCAGCTAATGCTGGAGAACTCATATTTTCATTTTATGAAGGGTAGATTACGGACATGTTCAGCACAAAAGTTATACCCGTAACCTATAGCTAACTGCTGGGCTCCTGAAACGGGGGTCACACAAGCTCCCATTATGAGTTGGCATTGTCACATTTGCAAACGCTGTGGAGAAATTTCTTGTGTGCCTTATTGTGTGTCATTCCTGTAAAGTACAACTGAAGAGAACCACTGTGAGCCTTGATGTCAGGTAGGTAGTTGGACCACTAGCTAGCGCACTCTCGTAAATAAAGTTAATCACTTGTAGTAGGATTCTACAACAGGAAAGCAATGTCTATCTATGCTACAAACCACAGTGTAATAAACCTTCACAACAAGCACTGTTAACAAATGTATAAAAGCTTAAATAACCTCCTTGCTAGGAGTTTTGTCTGGGATTCGGAGCAGCGGGAGATCAGTGTCTTTATGTGAGGGAGAGGAACGCGAGAAGCTGGCGCATGCATATTGCAAACTAGTACTTTGGTAGATCTGATGTTACGTGTGCCAAATTTAGTCCCGCCCAGCTCTAATCGGACTGAAGAAAATGGCAGAAAAAAAAGTGATTTCAAAAATCTCTCAACAGAAAAGACCAACATCTTTTTTTCTCTGTCAGTTCATAGTAAAAACATAAAAAAACTACAAATAATAGAACAAAATCATGAAAATAAGAAGACATGGACTTTAAGTAAAATGAGAGTCATTTTGCTGTATGTAAGATGTCATTAATCCTAATGGTAATAAAATTATTTATGCATATTTTATTTGCCTTTTAAGCAAAATGAGCAGTTTGTGCAACCATTTAGATGAATGTTCAGGCACTCAAAACACCTGGTTCATCTTTCCTTTCTCTCTTTTTCCCCAACTCTGATTGAAAAACTACATTGATGTAGGATGATTTCAGGCCGTTTTGTGTCATCTTAACCCCAATGACTTGGGTTAGAAATATTTTTAGGACTAAAATGTTCATTACAGGGGTGTAATGATTCTGAAACTGAGAACAAAATCACGATATAAACGTTCACAGACGATGATATCCCCCCCAACCCCAACCTTCTGTTGCAGACTGTTGAGCTCTCATAATGTTATTAATGTAACAAAACTCATTTTGCATTTCACAATTACCACTATAACTTGTAAATCACTAAATTTTTATTCTATTTAAACTTAATGCAAGCTGTATACAATGTTTTAAGTTGTTGGTGATTAAATAAAACCAAGAATTTTTTTTCAGTTTTTTTCTTTTTCACCTCCCACCCCCCCACCCACCCCCCACAAACAAAAAAATGAGGTTTGAAATGGAAATTTCACAAATGGACACTATAAGAAACAAGAGAAGAACTGTGACATGGATACAATGTCACTTTGTCAACTTGACACTAAAAAGCGGTCTTTATGACAACTGCTGCTTATAGGAATAGGCCTTCATAATGTTTATGTAGGTTTATGTCAGTTGTCATGAAAGGCGTATGCAGTTGTCTTGTAGCCTTATGAACCTGACCGACAGTAAAGTGTTACCAGTTATATTGACAGACCTGGTTGGTTACAGACCTGAAGGAAGTGGATGTTATCCTCTGTCTGTAGAAGCTTGTCCAGGACATTTCCTTGTCCCCTCAGCGTAGCTATCTCGAGCTCCAGCTGTTTACGAAGATCTCCAAGTCGATCCAAGTCAGCTTTCTCTTGAGCTCTGATCCTCTCTATGATCTCAGAGCGTCTTTTCTTAATAAAAGTGACTGACTCACTAAAGGCTTTCTCAGTGTCCTCCACTGCCCGATGTGCAGATTGCTGTTTAGAATCAGACGTGCCATTTAAAGCACTTCACCCAAATACACTTTAAATATCACTGATAAACCATTTAGTATTTAAACTGAACAGCCATTTAAAGTTGCATTACTTACCACATGAGACTCAATGGCTTTTTGCAGCGTATAAAGCTCCTTCTCTTTTTCTTTGCATTTCTCCTCAAATTTGCTCTTATCAACCTCCAGTTTTACCTGTGGACAAACCATTCACATTTACACTTAGTGCCCAATTTAATAGACACACCTACCTTGTTGATACACCTGATACAGTTGCAACAGTCTGGACACCCCTGGTCAAATGACATGTTTTGTTGATTTTCTCTAGCCAAGGGGTCTTCAAGTCTGGTCCTGGAGGTCTGGTGGCCAGCATAGTTTGGTAATTCCGCTACTCCAATATACCCACTAATCCTGACAATTCACAGATGAGTTGAAGCAGGTGGGAAATCACCAAACAGTGCTGAACACAGGCTCTCTTACCAGAATTGTATGCCCTTCCTCTGACTTCTCATCACTGGTCAGTTTCAGACCAGTAGACCAATAGATAGTTTTGGTAGGCAGGCATATTTTGAACCCAGAAAGCTCAAGACCACTGGTCAGCAGGGCTGTTATGGTGGTCCCTTCCCTTTCCATTGATGAATGGGTTGGAGGGGGGTGGATAAATTGTGCATTATCAACAATATCTTCAAACTAATTATAAAACAGTCCATATTTAAATCAAATCTGCTCACTGCCTGTTGTATGTGTGTTGTTTGGTTTATAATCTGGTGACTTAAGGTGGTGATACTGAACAGGTTACAGGGAAGAAGGGACAGAGAATAACCTCACCATCATTTACTTCCAAACATTACAATGCAAAGGTGGACTATCATATAATGACAATTATTCATATTTTTGGGCCATATGCTGTTTAATGTTAGGTTTTACAAAATATAAAATACATTATTTATAAATATATATTATGGAATCAATGATAATTTGTGTACAATGGACAAAAAAACTAATATCAGGGTTTTTATATTTCTACATTCTGAAAAAAATCTTAAACTGATCTTGGTCACGTCTCATGCCTCCTGGTCTCAGTCTTGACTCTGACTCAGCTACTACAAAGTCTTGGTCTTGACTTAGACTCAATGTGTCCAGAACTCGGTCTTGACTCACACTGACCTTTAGTAGTCTTGATTGCAACATTACTACAAAGTGCACCTATAACAGTAGGTGTAAAATGGCCATTGATTGTAGGTACAAGGTACAAGGCTGTTTCTAACAAGATGACAACTTAGTTTAGTTACATCCTTTTATTAAAAACTAATTCGAACCAACAAATATATATACATACGAATGCAGAGAAGAAAAGAAGAAAGCATTACTTGTTTCTCATCCCGTTCTTTTGCACAGGAAACAGTGTCATGGCCTTTATGTTCATCCATTAGACACAGCACACAGATGCACTTCTGGTCAGTTTGACAGAACACTTCCAGCAGCTTGTCATGTTTCTGACATACTGGCATGAAGGTAGCGTTTACCAGCTTGTGTCTCATAAGGACAGGAAAGTCGTAGTGAGGTTGGAGATGTATTTCACAGTAGGAAGCTCGACACTCCAGGCATGATTTAACAGCTCTGACCTTTCTTCCAGTGCAGAAATCACATTCTACGTCTCCGGCTTCAGCTTCAGGTTGAGCAAGTGAAGCGGCCTGGGGCTTTGTGTCCTTCAGCTTCTCCATTATGTCAGCAAGCATTGTGTTTTTGTTAAGAACAGGCCTTGAACCGAAGTTCTGCCTGCACTGAGGGCAGTTATTCCTCTTATCCATATCCCAGTAGCTGCTAATGCAGGACATACAGTAACTGTGTCCACAGGGTATAGTCACTGGATTCTTCATTAGATCCAGACATATTGAGCAGCTGTATTGATCCAGATCTCTGAGCTTAGACTCCGCCATTTTACTCCCAAAACATACAAAAATGTTTCTCTCTCTTTAGAGTTTCTCACTGAAGCTCCGTCTGTTTGCCGACTGTCGTGTTCTCAAAAGGATTTCCTGGTTCTTATAAGTGAAACAAGAGCTGTGCATACTCCTTTGAAAACACAAGAGTGAAAGTAAAAGTAAAATGAAGCTCTGAGCTCTCGCTGAAGTCAATTACACCATATGAAGCATAAACATATTTGTAAAGCATGATCCTGTCTGTATATAACTGTTTTTGACCTTTGGTTTGGACCCAATCTTATCTTGTCAGGCTGTTATTTTGAGTCTGGTGTGGCTGAGTTTTCACACACACCTGGGTTTCCACCAGGCTTTTCTCATATTTCTTAGTTGTAACATGTTTTGGTGCTTCAATACCTGCTGCTAATATTTTCAACACTTTTAATAATATTTATGATCTTTCTGACATTTTTAACAACCAGGACAAGAAAACTGTGTAGAGGTGTTAGCACCCTCTGTTGGTGAGCAAAAGAAGTAGCAAGCAAAAACAAGCAAGAAGGGTTCTCTATAGTACTGGAAAAGGGTTCTTTGACGAGTAACAATAGTGAAACATTTTGATGCTATATCCTTCTCATTCTAAATGTCCAGTATACTGGCCATTTTTCTCAGGTATTATAGTTCTATAGAAGCAGGCATGTCACCACACTCAGGTTAATGTGTTTCCACAGAGCTCAGTCTTTGTGTCGGTTGGTCATTTAATAGAATGTTTTACATTTTTTTCTTGTCATAAATAAAAACAAATATGGCAGCAATTTGGACACAAAGTTTAACGTCCAGTAATCTGGAAAGTTGGACTCAGTGTAGTAAATTATGCGTTGATTAGTATAACAGACGTATGCCTTACAAAATACAATCATTGAAGATTTTTGTTTATTTTGTTAAAGGTAGAATCTTATGTTTATTTAGGATTGACGGTAAATGATGTTCTAAACATTTGAGGATAATATTGTTTAGTGATTTCAGTGGATTCCACTGTCTAGTATACTGGACAATTAGGCAGATTTTGAAAAATTAACATTCTTCTCAACATAAAATTATTATTTCTGAAAAACAAATGTTATTTCTGTCTTGCATTATAGCGTATATAATGTTTTCTGACATTTTTCATCAATTACCTTGATTGTTTAAACCATTTGTTCATATTAGATATGTAAATTAGCATATTCTTCGTTATTTAAAACCTGTTTGTTATTATTATGATGTAGAAGCAATTCATGCAGAAGTCAAGGTGGTTCAAAGACTTCAGAAACTTTTTTCATGCAACTGTACAAACAGTAAACACAGGAAAAGTTCAGTGATTGCTTTGTGTCTTGATGATAATAAATATGTTAATTTTTCAAAACTCTCATGTTTCATGCACTTAACTCCAAATGTCCAGCATACTGGACACTGAATATTATGTGTTTCCCTGTTAACAAAAAAAATAATAATACACATATTATGTTATTTAGTAAGCAGCAGAGAACATGTTTCTTAATAAAACAGTGTTTGTTTTAAAGTGTCCAGTCTCGGGACTGAGAAGAATATAAAACCAATTTTAAAAGGTTCTTTGACTAAACTGTGCACTGCTGCCCTCTTCCATGAGTTTGGAATCCCTTATTTATTTAGGATGATTTTTGGCTACAGTCACATCATGAAACCATGCATGGCAACATTTGATTTCATGAACTAAATTTCTTTCTTTTTTTTAAATGAATTGGAGGGCTTATGAAAAAATCAAATGTGGTACTAAATCATAGTGTCTACAAGTGATCTACTCTCCTGCGCATTTTAATTACAACCTTAATCTAAGACACTTTGCTTTAATATCTATAAATAGATCATCTGGTTAAAGTGTGTTCAATTAGAGCAGTTACAAATCCTACTCTGATAAAAAAAAGGAACATGGTATAATAAGTGATAGAGCTTACTGGTTTCATCCACTCTTTCTGAGAACAGAACACAAAGTTTACTTTTTATTGTAACTTTCATTTTCTTGTGTAGGGCAGGTTCGTTACATAATTTCAGAAATCTATATAAGAAAGGTTACAAAAATGTGTTGAGCTGAGCAAGATTTTGCCAGTGAGCTCTGCTGTAGGCCTGCGACCATAAAAAAACAAGCAAGATGCATAATATGCTAGTGTACTATTTATTTAATCAACACATAAAATAAAACTATAGGGCAGTAATTCACATTCATTCAAAACATTTACATTACCTATATTTATATTACCTACCAGTTAGAAAAGTTTTATAAATTCGATATGAGACCAGTTATCATTACAAGGCCATAATATTGTGTGTATTGCATAGTATTGTAATTAATTTGTTCATTTAGTTTGTAAAAAAATATTCAACTACATTTACCTTAGAAATGGAAATATTACTGTTTACATTTTTTAGTTGGTATTTTTAATATTCATTCAACTTATAACCTGAATACTTGTATTATAAAGTGTACAAAAGCTAGATTTTGGGAGGGCTGGTAGGGAATGAATGCTCTATCAAAATCTATAACGATATAAGTGCTAAAAATCTTACATGGTATATCTTTAAGTTTGATGTTGCAATATTAGCCAATCAAAATAAGTAAGTGTTTAGAATTTTGATACGAATCCCTGTAGCTGTTTCTCTGTGGCCTGTGTGGAAAATGCTGACTTACCCAAGCAAGGCTTCAGTAAGTCCACTAGATGGAGGTATAGTGGAAAGCACATTGTTGCCAGTGCCCTTTAAAGCAATACGAAACACTGCACCCTACGTGCAGGATAAAGCAACTGACCATAGACACAACAGAGACTACACATTCAAATGGATATTACAAAGAATTAACATGTTAATGTTCTGGAAATACATTTTTTACTGGCAGAGTTTAGCTCAGTGAGATCACGCTCACCCAGGTTACTCTTTATCTACCAGAACTGTACACGTCTTTGAACCTATAATCCATGTTGGTGAACTCAGTTTATAGGCCTAAACTCCTCCTCCACCTCCTTTTCCACATACCAATGAAGCAAATCACCGGTGTACTGGTAGGACTGCACAAAATCAGCCGTTAACTGGTCAGACTGCACAAAGTCAAAGCAGTGTGTGCCAATGACTCACGTTTTCCCAGCATTAATTCATGAATCATCATGTGGTTACTGCCACTACAGAGTCTCTGAACAGCAACCAGTGCAATGCGTTTCGTCACACTGCAACACATTCTCATAGTTTAGTCTATCTATCAAGTAATGGCAGAGATTGGCAGTCTGAAACTCCAGAGCAAGGCACACTATCACTTACACATTTATCTCCCAGGTATTATAGCCACTGCTCCTACCCCACTGATAACACACATTTCTAAGCCACTCACCCTCCTGGGTTGCGGGGGGAGCTGGAGCCTATCCCAGCTGTCATTGGGCGGAAGGCAGGATACACCCTGGACAGGTCCCATTGATAACAGAGCTGTGAAAATACAACCCCATTTCCAAAAAAGTTGGGACGCTGTGAAAAATGTAAATATAAACAAACTGCAATGATATGCAAATCATTTAAACCCTATATTTCATTGACAATGCTTCAAAGACAACATATCAAATGTTGAAACCAAGAAATTTTATTGTTTTTTAAAAGCCCATTTTGAATTTAATGCCAGCAGCATGTTCCAAAAAAAGTCAGGGACAGGGGCAACAAAAGGCTGGTAAAGTTGTGTAATGCTTAAAAAACACCTTGTGGTTAACTGGCAACAGGTGAATAACATGATTTGGTATAAAATGAGCATCTCAGAGAGGCTTTCAGAAATAAAGATGTAGAAGGCTTCACCACTCTGTGAAAGACTGACGATCAAATTAACAATTTAATTTAATTGTTGCTAACAATTTAGCAACAATTTAAGAATAACATTTCTCAACATAAAACAGCAAAGAACTTTTGCTTTTCATCATCATTTATCATTTATGGTACATAATAAAATTGAAAGATTCAAAGAATCTGGAGAAATCTCTTTATGCAAGGGACAAGGCCAAAAACCAGTATTTGCTGGCCATGATCTTTGGGCCTTCAGATGGCACTGCATTAAAAACAAACATGATTCTGTAGTGGAAATCACTGCATGGGCTCAGAAACACTTCTGAAAGCCACTGTCTATGATAACAGCGCTGCATCCACAAATGCAAATTAAAACTTTTAAACACAAAAAAGAAATCATATATAAACAAGATCCAGGAACACTGCCACCTTCTCTGGGCCCGAGCTCATTTAAAATGGACTGAGGGGAAGTTGAAAAGTGTCCCGTGGACCGACAAATCAAAATTTTAATTTCTTTTTGGAAATCATTGACAATGCATCCTCCGTACTAAAGACCACTCAGCTTGTTATCTGTGCACAGTTCAATAGCCAGTATTCATGATGGTATAGCGGTGCATTAGTGCACATGGCATGGGTGACGTGCACATCTGTGAAGGCGCCATTAATGCTGAATGATATATACAGGTTTTGACAACATATGCTGCCACCCAGATGACGTCTTTTACAGTGAAGGCCTTGATTATTTCAGCAAGACAATGTCAAACCACATTCTGCATGTATTACAACAGCACGGCTCTGTATTAAAAGAGTCCGGGCACTAAACTGGCCTGCCTGCATTTGGCACATTATAAAATAAAAAATATGACAAAGGAGACCCCAAACTGTTGAGCAGCTGAAATCTTATGTTAAGCAAAAATGGTTCACATTTCACTTTCAAAACTACAGCAGTTGGTCTCCTCAGTTCCCAAACGCTTACAGACTGTTGTTAAAAGAAGAGGTGATGCAGCACAGTGGTAAACCTGCCCCGTCTCTACTTTTTTGGAATGTGTTGTTGGCATCAAATTCAAAATGGGTATATATTTTTCAAAAAACAATAACATTTCTCCATTTCAATATTTGATTTGTTGTCTTTGTACTATTTTCAATTAAATATAGGGTTTAAATGATTTGCACAACATTAAATTTTGTTTTTATTTATATTTTGCACAGCATTCCAGCTTTTTTGGAAAAGGGGTTGTAATACATTGATTAATCTGCTCTGAAGGCTATGATGTAGAGGTGAGAAATATGACGATTTTTATCATTATTGTGATAAATTACAAAATCACCATAATAAATCACCAACTGCATGTTTCATTACAAAGAGAGTGTAATTAGTCCTGTTTAATTGGATTTAGTGCCTTGCAGTATGAGGAAAATCATTTTACTCATACTTTTTGACGGTACTTTTTACATGTGGCTCTTTTATGTCTGTTATCAAACCTCAGAAAAACTAAATGTCATCATACATACTGTGTATAACAATGCTATATTTTTGAAAACTAGAAAACTAAATATCATATATACATATATATATCAGATATTTAGTTTTCTAGTTTTAGAGGTCTGATACGTTGGAACAGTGCCATGTTTAAAAAAAAAAACTTTCATAAACTACAAGTACAATGATTTCTGATTGTTTCACATACTGCACTGCACTAAATCCAGTTAATCAGGCATATTTATTAAGAGTGTAACACCTCATGTTACATTGTGATACTGCAATGCAAAAAATGTGCATTGTGGAGAACAGACATCCTACAAACCTCAATTCCAGAAACGTTAGGACAATATATGAAATGCTAATAAAACAGAAAACAGTGAATGGTAAATTCAGTTAAGAACCCTTAAATTGAAATCAGTACAAAAACACAACAGGGATTTTAAGCAAAAATGGTGGCAGGAACAGCTACCAGTGCTGTTCTGCACATGCACAAATTTAACTCACTGTGTCCTGCTGCAGTAACCTGCTGCGCTGCTATGGCAGAATCTTGTGTCTTGTGTCAAAGTACTATTTATTTACACTAGATAACACTATTCCTTCAATGATTCTTTTTAAAGACACAAGTTAATTTAGTTGATTTTTCCATTTTTCTGAAGATATGTCATCAGGTGAGCAAAGACAGTTACACACCCCTTTCCGCAGTTGCGGTGGAGATTTCCATAGCTAGGCCGTTAACACAGACATCACTTCTTAATGCGTTTTCAATAGGACACAAGTCTGGACTGCTTGCGGGGCAGTGTAGTACCTACGCTCTTTGATTACACAACCATGCTGTTGTAACACATGCAGAACGCAACTTGGCCTTGGTGAAGTAAGCCTGGACATCCCTGAAAAGGACGTCATCTAAAATCCAGCATAAGCTGCTCCACAATGTCTTTGTACTATTTTCATTTAAATACAGGTCAAAATGGATTTTCTGTCTTTGTGTTTTACATACTGTAACAATTTTTTTTGGAAATGAGGTTTATATTAATGTAATATCATTATACATGATATGTTTTCACAATGCACTTTATGTCAGTATGTTTTTTTAACATCTGATAAGTTGGAACAAAGTAGTGCTACTTTTTAAAAATACTATCACAAATCCAATTATATGTATTCAGTATTTTCCACACTGTGCTGCACTAAATCCAACTAAACAGGCCCAAAAATGCTCTTTTTAATCAAACAAGCAGTTGGAGTTTTTAAACATCTCAGTGTCACTGCTGGACTGAGGATAGTCCACCAATCAAAAATATCCAGCCAACAGCGTCCTCTGGCTTCGTATGACCACTGATGGACTAGAGGATGACCAACACAAACTGTGCAGCAGCAGATGAGCTACTGTCTCTACTGACTTTACATCTACAAGGAGGACCAACACAGTAGATATGTCAAATAGAGTGGACAGTGAGTGGACGCAGTGTTTAAAAACCCCAGCAGCACTGCTGTGTCTGATCCACTTTTACCAGTGCAACACACACTTACACGCCACCACTGTGTCAGTGTCACTGCAGTCCTGAGAATGATACACCACCCAAATAATACCTGCTCTGAGGTGGTTCTGTGGGGGTCCTGACAATTGAAGAACATAGTAAAAGAGGTCTAACAAAGTAAACAAAGAAACAGATGGACTACAGTCTGTAATTGTAGAACTACAAAGTGCACCTATATGGTATGTGGAGCTGATAAAATGGACAAAGAGTGTCAAGGTAGGTGTACCTAATAAAGTGCACGGTGAGTGTGTTATTCTCAATTCAAATTTAAGTGAGGTTTGTCTAGATTAAGCTTTTGAAAATATTATCAGGTTATTATTTTCTAAAAAATTATATAAAATAAGGTCTAAAACCATTTTCCCCCAACGCTTTTGTTCGGGGTTGCCCAGATGAAGCCCTGGCCTGCTGTCTGTCCATCAAACTGCAGCGTCCGCCCCCTCGCCCCTTCACCGGCGCAGCTGGCCGCCTGGCTGCAGAGCCAGCACACTGAACTGAGCACATTCACTCACTGCAATCTGGCTCCCAGCGGCCGAGGAGCTGCACCTTTAATACTACACCCGGCCTCCAAACACGCTTATGTCGCTCATCACCAAAGAACAGAAGTAACACGAGGTGAGTTTGTTTGCTCCGAGACGCGTAAAGGCGTCCAGCTGGCACGCAGCTCCAGTCCGGTTTTGCGCTTTATCTCGATACTCGATGGTTTAAATGCGCGGTCGATTTCGAAAAGAGGCATGTTTGCGGAAGTGGCAGATTAGCACGGTTCGCGTTAGCTATCCCGCTTAATCGCCGCGGTGCGCCATATCTGCCTCGAAGTACAGCTAAACCTATCTACATGCTTTGTGTACATTAAATTCTTTAAACATTGTAAACGTATGTTGGTGAAAACAGATCCAGACAAGATGACGGAAAAGCCGAGCCGAGCTGGTTGAGAAACTCAAAATGGCTTCCAACCTTTGTCGTCTCCGTGTTAGCGCTAGCCTTATTTGGCTAGGTGGAGCAGTAGCAGTGTCACTTTTTCGGCGAGTATAACAGATAAAATGTGCTGTCAGTGAGCAAACTGAAGGCTTAAATTTGCCGGAGGATAAGCGTGAACGTGTAGCGCGGTCTTAATTCGTGTTAGTATGACTGTGGCCAGTTTTTACCGCTTGTTTCACAAGTAACTACAGCCATTTTTCCCGGCAGTGAAGCTAACCCTAGCTAGCTGGTTGTTGTCCACGTCAGGGCGGTGGGGGAGGGGAGGCGAGGCGAGGCGAGTCGGAGCGTTGTACCGATTTGTGAACGAACCGATTCTTTTGACCAATTCAGTCGAAACGATTCATAAGACTGATTCTTCTGATGCGTCTCTAGTATTTATCACGAATACCCTTTTGACTTCGCTTTCATTTTTCTCTCTGTACACCATACTTAGCTCCCTTTTGTGTTACGTCTGACTAGAGGTGGGCGATATGACCAGATGTCATATCACGACACTTCGAGTTTTAATGATACATGATATGCCATGATATTAATTTTTTCCTGACATCTGGTAAGATAGGACTAAATAGTGCCACATTTTAAAATTACCATAAAAACTATTAATACAATTTCACACGAAATCCAGTTACACAGGACAAAGTATGCTCTGTTTAAACATGCGGTTGGAAAGTGATTAAGTACTGACAGTATCCAGGATATACTCAGAAAAGCATATTATGATGTAATTTATCATGGTAACAGCTAAATATAGTCCTTTTGCCTAGCTTTAGCGGTGACCGTCAGACTTATTCACTGAATTCATTTTTACTGCATGTGGAGTAAATGAGAATACGTTGACTTGAGGGTTGAACCAGTGAATCATTGAATCAACCGTTCGATTCTTTCAAATGCGCGGTTCTGAAGAATCGGTTCGGTGAACTGAATCGGACTTTCCATCGCTGGCCTGCCGGTCTGCCCGGGGTGGAGCCTTTGGGAATGAGTACACTAGAACCAGAGGAGAGGGAGGACAAAATGCTGATGAAATCCTCGCTTTCTCCACTGCGTGAAGTCTGACATAGTTACTTGGAAAGCTCAAGACATACACTGTGGCATATTAAGTGGTCAATTACTTGGCAACCCAGCGTGGTTCTTAGTTAAATCTCCCAGGCAGACATGCTTGCCACATATACCTAGTCTTATGCTCTGCCTATGTGGACTCTTTATTAGTTTTAAATGTAATACACATAATCACTGGTATTTTTTTTCTTCACCTTTTATGGCTCTATACTTAAAGGACCACTTATCGTAGAAAATTGAGTTTTCCTTCCTTTGTTTTTTAAGTAAGAGCTTGATTTTCCAAACATATCGTTCAGTCCCCAGTCCATATATGGAAATGAAACTTCAAAAAGAGCTTGTTTGAATGAATTGTTTTTGTGATGTCATGAAAGTCAGCATATTTCCATGTATTTGGCCTACAGTAGGTTAACCCCACTGGTTCATGCTGAAGTTATAAGGAGTGTTTCAGCCTGGGCTGCTTTTGGAATGGGGCACAGTACAGGCCAACCAGTCAGAACACAGCCCATTTACATAGATGAGCCCTGAAGACAGTAACAGAAAACAGTCTGTATTCTTTTAAGTGACTTAGAGGTTGGAAAATGGACATGTAAAAATGAATTATGACTGTTTTTGGTGTACAAAAAAACACAAGACATTATAATTGAACATCAGGAAAAATATCAGAAACATGTAGGATATGGGCCTATTATTGTAATTGTTTGAGATAACCGAATGCAAGTGCTCATGTGTAGTATTGGTTGTAAATTGAAATGGATTATAGGTTGCCCTATAGATAAAGACTTAGCTTTAGCCATAGTATTATTTTGTTTCTTTTACAATAACTGAATGCAGTGCTGCATTTTCAGTATTGGTTGTGGCTTAGGCTGTACTTTAGCACAGGATTTTGTATTAGTCATATTGTTAATGTATGTCAGCTTGCACTCTGGTCTCTGTCTCTACAGTGCTGGGATGTCACTCATGCTGCAGGTAGGCAAAACCCCCTGTGCCCTCATCCTAACCCCGTCAGTATCTGGTTAACACGTGGTCTTTTGGGTTAGAACTTTCGTATGTCTGTGTGTGTGTGTGTGTGTGTGTGTGTGTGTGTGTGTGTGTGTGTGTGATACTGATAAAGGTTAGGCAAATCATTTCCATTATGTTAAGTCAAGACTCTTAACATGAAATGACTTTGCATTTTTTAATGCTTTGCTTTTTTAAAATGCCTGCAATTAATGGATCTGTTGGTTTGTCGTTTTTACATCTTGTGTAATTTGATAAATAACTATAAATGTACTTCATTATTGTTGCTCAGCTATAATCGCATAGGGTTTTCACATCTCATAGTCACCCATGAGTGCTTGATCTAAATAACTGATGGAGGGCTCATTACCTTCCCCCCAACACAAACTCATAGGCCATCATGGACTGATGCCAGATGATCTCTTTTGACATATTGGTTGGTGTCATGTGTTTTCTGTGTTCTGGCTGCATGTTTGTCACTTTTAGGCTCCTGTAATCCTGGTTTGCTGGCCATGGAGACATGGAGACTTCGTATGTGTTTGTCCACACTTAGTCTTTATTACAGCTCTCATTAGTTCCTCAGTGGTGTCTGGATCCCATTCAGTTGAAGTGTGGAGTCTTGCTGTTTGTGTACATCATGCACGACGGAAGAAGACTTGGTGTTACAATAGCAAATTGCATTCATCACATCTCTGTGGTTTTTTGCTTCAGTTGAAAGGAAAGGGCTGCTTTAATTTTAGCGTTACCGTTGCTCTGGTATCAAACCTTGTCCGTGACATTTGCTGGATTTATTTAGATTTTCTGTGTAATAAGGTGCAATACAAAATATACAGAGGGTGGGTAGATAGCATCAGTCTAATTCATCTAATGTACAGCTAGTCTTTTTGGAATAATATATAAAATAATAATATAAAATATATGAGATTTTACTATTATCATTGTTATTATTACTGATATCATAATTATTATTATTATTATTATTATTAGTAGTAGTAGTAGTAGTAGTAGTAGTAGTGGTGTGTTATTGGAACCAAATATTAATCTGGCCAGTATGTCTTTTCTGAAAATTGATTAGCCAAATTTTTAATTTGAATGTGATAAATCAATCACTGTAAACCCTTTTGATTTACATCAGTTGTGAGATTGTTTATTTGGGGTGCCATTTATAGTTACCATTTGGTCAGACAGTAAATACTACTTAAGTATGTTTGAGTGACCATGTGAGGAAACTATGAAAATCAAATCAAATTTACTGTAAATGTGTGACAATTGATGCATCATAAACAAAGCTAAAATGTAGACATAGAAGATAATAAATGTTGAATTTCTCTGTGATGCTAATCCAGGTGGATTTTTCTCCCAATTTCTATCCTGTAGAAATGTTCATGCATTGGTTCTGGTATTGTCAAGAGATATCATCACGAGATACACTATATGGACAAAAGTATTGGGACACCCCTCCTAATTATTGAGTTCAGGTGTTTCAGCCACATCTATTGCAAATAGATGGATAAAATTAAGCACATAGTCTTGCAGCACGCCACCACTTGACTCTGGAGCAGTGGAAACGTGTTCTGTGGAGTGACGCATTTAGCTTCTCTGACTGGCAGTCTGATGGACGAGTTTGGGTTTGGCAAATTCCAGGAGAACGTTACCTGCCTGACTGCATTGTGCCAAGTGTAAAGTTTGGTAGAGGAGGGATGATGCTGTGGGGTTGTTTTTCAGGGGTTGGCCTAGACCCCTTAGTTCCAGTGAAGGAAATTTTAATGCTTCAGCAGACCAAGACATTTTGGACAATTGTATGCTTCCAACTTTGTGGGAACAGTTTGGGCAAGACCCTTTTCTGTTCCAGCATGACTGGGCCCCAGTGCACAAAGCTAGGTCCATAAAGACATGGATGGCTGGGTGAGTTTGGTGTGGGAGAACTTGAGCCCTGACCTCAACCCCATCAAACACCTTTGGGATGAACTAAAACAGAGATTGTGAGCCAGGCTCTTTCGTCCAACATCAATGTCATCAGTGTCAATGCTCTTCTGGACGATTGGGCAAAAATTCCCACGGACACACCCCAAAATCTTGTAGAAAGCCTCCCAGAAGAGTGGAAGTTGTTATAGCTGCAAAGGTGGACCAACTCCATATTAATGCCTGTGTATTTAGAATAGAATGTCATAAAAGTTCCTGTAGTTGTAATGTGTAGATGTCCATATACTTTTGTCCATATAGTTTATCACTAATGTATACTGTGGGGCCAAAAGTCTATTGAAAATGCTTTTGTTTTGAATTGTTTTCTAGTTTAATACAGCATTTTTTCATTGCAAGTTATATTATCAGCATAACAATATGAGTAAAAAGAAGAATATTTGAATTTTAGCATAAATTTCAGATTTTCTTAATATTTGGTATCTCCCTCTTTTGGCTTTAATGACAGCATGCACCCAAACTAGCATGGTCAGTGTCACAAATTTGTTTAAATTTGAAAAGTGACTTCTTCAATGTTTCTTCATCATGTTAATGGTCATAACTTTTGTTTGTTTTAAAGCTTTCAAAATTTCAAAACTTCCTGCTGTTTGTTTTCAGGTTTAAATAAAAAAAAATCCAGATTTTCAGTGCAGTCCCAGACTTTTGGACTCCATTGTATGTACATGAAACACATTGGATATTGGCATCAGCCCACAATTCCCATGTCTGTGCATCCCTACTAAAATGTTACAATTACTCAGGCAATGGTACAAAGCAGCGGACACTTATATAGACTATGTATTTACTATTAGTATGAGAGTTGCCCTTTAGTTTTGTTCCTGTGTGAAAGGAGGGAATGGTGACTTGTGAAAGTGACAAACACCACATCTCATTTAACAACCAGATCCCTCAGGTTCCCCCTTCTGACGTAGCCTGCTGTTTGAGTGCAGTTTTGCTGGCAAACCAGTAATTTACAGTTTTACTGCTTGAATGCAGCTTTATTGTGTTGAGCTAAATCTTCACCTTGAAGGCTCATATAGTCTATCATTGTATACTATTCTTGTTTATGTATGGTGACTGACATTTGATCAAGCATGCAGTTACAGTAAATATTATCTAGAAATCTGTTTATTTGCTGATGAGTCTCTCCTAATTTGATCTCTCTTCTGTAGGATCGACATGTTCTCCAAAGGCACCAAGCGCAAGTTTTCCGACGACGGAGATGAGATGTCGGACGAAAGCCTGGCTGGTGCTCAGGTGTCATCGTCCTATAGTCTGCAGCGACAGTCACTCCTGGACATGTCCCTCATCAAGCTGCAGCTGTGCCACATGTTGGTGGAGCCGAACCTTTGCCGTTCGGTCCTCATTGCAAACACGGTGCGGCAGATCCAGGAGGAGATGACTCATGACGGCACTTGGCAGGTGGTCACAGAGACCTTCTGTGGTGGCAGCCAAAGCCCATCTGAACGCCTGGTGGCAACCGAGGTGCTCTGTCGGTCGCGGGAGCAGGATGCTGAGCCAAAGCTCTTCTCGGTCCTCAGCTATGAAGGATGCCGCGAAGAAGAGGTGGTGACAGACGAAACCTTGTGTTCTGTCACAGTCAGTGACACGGCCTCTGATGTTTGTCTCTCAGAGAGCGCTCGGCATTGCTGGGAACGGGATGAGCTTGTAGAAGTAGAAAGAGATGAGGAGGCCTGCGAAAGCTCTAGGCTTGGCCCAGGAGATGATGATGATGACGATGACGACGACAACGACGATGATGATGAAGTAGATGATGAAGAGGAGAGTTCCAGGGAGGATCCAAAGACCATGGGGCAGGTTTTTGGGACCTTTGAGATCAAGAACAGTGCCCCAGGTCCGGACTCCGCTCTTGAAGAGCTGTTCTCAGATGTAGATGCCTCTTACTATGACCTTGATACCATGCTCACAGGTATTCAGAGCGCTCCTAAGATGGGTCCCTATGACCTGCTGGACAGTTTGGCCCCTTCTCATGGGCCCCCTTCCATAGGCTCACCCTCAAACTGTCGCTCTGATCTCAATGAACTGGACCACATCATGGAGATCATTGTCGGTTCTTAGACAAGAACCTGTCCAGAGACTTGTATACTTCTCTTAAATGTTACCTGCTTTTCTGCCCCTTATGGAAAGCAAGTTAAATCTGCGGTCCTTTCAGGGAAAGGAGTCTGTGTCTTGTAAAGGATGGCCTTGATTTTATGAGCTGACCATAGTTATCTTATTTGCATACCCTTTGTATGTTTTTTAATGTTTTCTTTCTGTATTTGTCTGTCCAGACATGCTTTTATATTTATTTCTTACATTCATTAACACTACATCATTGGAGAGCAGAACAAGGTGTATACAAAAGTGTAAAAGATATTTTCATAAAACAATGAAATTGTCTAAAATATGTATAAATATATATATATATATATATTTTACTATAGATACTGCTTGTTAACTGTTACTGTACACTCTATCAGTTTTGATCTTTTGTTTTTAAATTGACAGATCAGATATCAGCGTCTTATGTTTCTTAGTGGTCTTCCACTTACTGGAATGGATGAAGGTGAAGAACTTTTATTCATTTCAGGATTCAGAAATGGCAGTAAGGATACCGTGATGCATGACTTTTATTTCTGTTGTACTTTTAGGTGCATTTTGGCACCCAGCGGTTTTTTTTCCCTCAGTATTTTGGCAATAGACTGTCGGTCAGCTCAACTGCAGGTTTTGTTTTGCTATTAGAAGTCAAAGTATTCGTATATTTGTCTTATCAGCAAATGAAGAATGATGGGGGCCAGCCCATTCTATATTATGACTTTATAATTTATTTTATTTATTTGCTGCAAATTTACATGTTGAGTGTTGGCTTTGGTCAAACTCAGGGCAGGAGAGGCTTTTCAACTATCAGACTCCATGGGCCTGATTTACCCAAACCTTTAGCACCTGCTAAATTTTAACAGTTGGAAAACCAGTAACATGACTTGTGATTGCTACGTTTATCTGGGATGCACTTGTCATTAGTTTAATTTTTGGTTAATCTTTGACACGTATAAAGGCTTTAATAAACCTGGTTTTGAGTCATTTGGGCTGCATTAAGACAGGCAAATAATCGTTTTCGCATTTATTTGATGCACATCTGATCTTTAGAGGTCATAAAATAATGGCATGAAATCTCATCCAGTTTAGACCACTTTTTTATACAAACTCAGAAGCAGGCAGTCGCATTCCAGTAGTCTGTCTGTCTGACGTGCATCTAATCGGGTAAAGGATAAAACTAATCTGATGTGCGAGGTGCAGCCTGCTGTCATAACGTAGCCTTTTAGGCCCCTCATGATGAACTACACTGTTTCTCTGATCCTATGCATTGAGTGTAGCAATACACTTACTATGCACAAAGTGAGCACACTTTTACAGTACAGTATTTAAATTGTATTTTTAATTGCGTCGTAAAGAGGACTAGGGTGAACAGTTGTCTTCCTGTTACAGAAATTATTTGGTCATGTCTGAAAGGAAATCTTGCATTCAGAACTGTTTTCGTGTGGGCAGTACATTCATTTGAGGGGAAGTCATTGCCCTCTACCTTACATCACAGTTTCATTTTTAAGTATGATCTAAATCTAGAGTAGAGTATAAACATTTTATATGTGCATTGTAGCATTTTTATAACATTTTTAATAAAAGGTACAACTTAATGTATTTTTCCTGTGTGCTTTTCTTACATATGCTTAAATTTGTATTAATAATGGTTATTCAGAAAATGGACAAGGATCTATGTCCATCAACAACTGAATGTAGTTTTCTACAAAATAGTAGCTGAATAACTTCTATTTAGTAGCTACATTATTTGTTTATTTACTCAAAGTTCCCCATATTCCTATAGTATGTTCCCATCTCACAAAAATCAGAAGACAGTTTCATCCACTCATTTTCTATAGTGTTAGTGGTGGAAAGAATAGCGAGGAGAAGAATAGTCACTGTTCACCAAGAAAACATTCCGAAATTTTCTCGGTGCTGGTGTCACATCAAAGAGAACCGATCCTCTTTAAAGGGGCACTCAGGCCAAAATGAAACAGTGCTAAACTATTGCTCACATGTTGTAAACATGCTTACTCACATCCTACAGCAGTTCTGCAGTAGACTCTAGAGTGAGATCTTCTGGTTTAAAGACTAGGAAAACCCCCTACTGGTGATGTGTCTTGAAGGTGGAAGAAAGTCTTGTGAAACTGCAACTGCTTTGTGGTGGCTTTTTAGGGGAGGCTGTTTTTAATGCAGCAGCAAGCCATATAGCTAATCTTACTGCTAGGAGGCCCAATTGTGCTACAGCTGCATAACTGTAGTAACTCTCTTCAACATACCATTACAGTGGAAAGAATAGGTTACTCAAAAGATAGAAAAAAGTTGAAGTCAAATGAGGGGGACAACTAGCTAAAAGCTAAAGTTAGCAAGGTAGCTATCTTATAATCTAGATCTCTTACTCCAGCGTAGCTCCTTTTTCTGCCTAAAAGGGTACAAATGTGTCTCTAGTATCCATTTGTGCTGAATTAAGATATAATCACTATTTTCTTTACGGTTTTGTTGGACAACTGAGGAAATAGATACACTAATGTGAACTTGGTTGTATTTATTGGCCTTTAACTCAGTAGATAGGCTAGCAGGACTAGTTGACACCAGAAGTTGTATTGTCGTTCTAGTCATTTCCATATTAGGTTCTCTGGGTCTTTCTCTGACAAAAAATGACTTTTTGAAAATCGCTGATATCAAAAGCATGTGGTAAACAAAAAAGGTTCCAAACTCGATTTGTGTCCTACAATTTTTTTTTTCCTGAATGTCACTGGATACTCTAAATTATAAGGTCATTAAGGAGTTGAAACACAACTATTACTCTGTGTCAGCTAACACTGCTGCGCAATGAATTGACGTGACAACTAGCAATTGTTTGGCAACTTCACCAAAATACCCCTCACAAATCTATGCTTTGTTAAATGTGGTAGTTAATAGGCCTGTCATGATCCTGAAATTTTAGCTGACTATTAATTGCTTTATAAATAAGTATGCTTAACAATTTAATCCTCTTTTGTTCATTGTATGTAAATATTAAACTATAAAGTGGCCAAAGTGGGGATTAGCTATCTTACTTTCTAGCTGTGAATACTAATTCGCTCTATGCCTGGGCGATATCTAAAAATAATTATAACCATGTTTTTAGGTAAACAATCTCCAACCCCACTTAATCTGTACAGAAAATACTGCACACCAGCCGTAGACGAAGACCAGAGGAACTGTCTCTTCAGGTTAGAGTTAACTTCGCTTTTCACTGCAGTGAGTCACTTTGAGCATGTTGGCATTCTTTCCGGTTATGTTCACATAAAGTAAATTGGGGTGAATCTGTGTGGTATAGCTAGCATTACAGTGTGTAGCAGAGAGAAATAACACATGCAGTTCCTTAACAAATCTCTCTCTCTCTCTCTCTGAAACTGGCTACTGATGCAGGAGCCCACACACTTCTTAAATGTGTGCCCCAGTTTCCCGACTTACTTTTAAAGCTGTTTAATGGTGAATTAGTCCTCTCTAATTCTCTCTTCTTTTACCAAAACAGCATCAACTTGTCCATCATCGACGATATTCAGTTACATCGCCCTATCGCCCAGGCCCAATTCGCTCCCAACTGATGACGGAACTGGCTTGAGCTCAAATAAACTAACATTACTCACCACTGCCCATTTACAACCTTATGATTTGGATAATGAATAATTTGATGAGCTCGGCTCTGATTTGCTGGTTTACAGCGAGGCACCACGACGGGTCTCGCAGAAGCAACATGTCGAAATAGACACAGGCAGGAAAATAAAATTAACCTCCGTTTAAATAAGCTTGGTCATCACGCTATTACGTTTGCTATGCTAGTTACTTGGAGCTTGCTAGTAGCTAACATTACTTATACTAGCAACTTGCTTTGGATCTCGATAACAACACGTAAAGTTAGTGAAGTTGTTAGCTCACTATAAAACTCAATTTGATGATCTGGCTTTAACAGTCAAAACATGGATAAAATCACACAGCATGACTAGCTATTTACAAGCTGCTGTTGAAGTTGTGATGCTAATAAGGTTGAAACTGCCCCTCTCTTCAGTGACAAAGGCTAAGCAATACCTGCTCGATATTGTCCAAGCTTTGAGAAACTGTCCAGCGTGATAAACTTAACGTCATTGAATTAAAGTTGTCCAGAATCCTGTTAAAAATGGCTAAAGATGTGAGAGCTTAAGTTAGCTTCCTATTCACCAATTATTTTGCAACTTTTCCGTTCTACCTTAGATGTTACCACAGTTACATTTTGCCTCATGTACAAAATGTGGCTTTTAAGGTGGAATGGAACGTTCAAAGCTGGCGAATAGGAAGCCAACTTCAGCCTTGTTTAAAGAGGAACATGCCATGCCCACTGACAGTATGGTTCCTTGGGAAAGGTATGAAAAGTGCAGACATCCCCTTTACAACCTGGAACGGTACAATTTCTGCACATTGTATGCTATTTTCATGGCTGTTGCTCCATTGTTGTTGTTTCACTGGACTATAGCGTGGACTGGTGTATGTAAAATTTGAGGGGGTAAATATAGAAAATGAATCAAGATTTTACATAACAGTTTAGGATTTTGGAATTGGCCCATTTTACCGCCCTCTTTTACATAGGATTTGCATTTGAAGAAGGAGAAGAGCAGTGTTTGAGGTTTACGGTATGTCAGTTCCATGAACCAAACTCTCCTTATTCAACTATACCAATGTAAATACAGTCTTCCATTCTATGGCATCTTTAAAGAAAAATGTACGTAGGACAAAACGCATTGAGTTTGGAACCATTTTTGTTAAGCTCAGGGCATGATAGCAGCCTGTGCAACATTTTTCAAAAATGCTATATATTTTTATCATAGAGAAAATTACTTTAGACCTGGAATTCCTAATAGGGACATGATGACCATAGAATGAAGCAGGACTTGGTTAGGTATATGGCCTGTGGTTGTATGATGTAGTTATGTAATGCACGGTGGGTATTTCAGTGAGAGAACACTGATGAACGAAAACGCTATAAAATTGTGGCAAACCAATGAAGTGGTGGGTTATGATGCTGTTCTACAGAATTCTGCATAACATGATAAATAACATTTGAAGCTCTAGGCCAAAATGCCGCTTTATTATAGGATGCAGTCGGGATTGTTACGTTTGCTGTAAACGTAAGCATCATACTCTTCTTTTCAACCTTTTAACATTTTGAGAATAATAATAATTAAAAAAAACGTCATTATTTAATTGCTTATGCAATGCACTGTATTTGAGCAGATAAAAGTACAGCAAAGCAGGAGTAAATTAAGTAGTTTTCAAGCCATAAGTTACATTTGACTGTGTAGCTATTGATTCTGTCTTTACTAAGTGACAGAAGTGGGATGCTGAGATGTAAAATTACTGTGGAAAAATTATTCTGGGCAAAAGCTCAAGGGAAAGTGTGAGGTGAGTGCTTCCTTCACAGTTTTGAAGGTGTGTGGTGGAGTGAAAAATTCACTCAAAATGTACATACATGTAGAATTCATGGAAGGATCCAGAAGCTAGTAAAAGTAATCAGCTCCTTACAGTAGGCTGTAGTGAAAAGCTGAAAGTGTACTGTTCTCTTAGCATGTCGCTGACGTCATTCTCAGTCGTGACTCTATACGTCACGGCTTAAATCCCCAGTAGGGGCCATGAAGTAAAGGGGTTGTAGACCGACAGCACTGAATTAAGTGTTGTGTCAAGCGTTAGTATATTATATAAAATAACAAAAATGCAACTCATGCACCTTTACCATTAGCATGTGTGATTTATATTCCATTCTTCCTGCAAATATGTATATTCTATATATTTTGTCCATGTTCCACGTGGATATCAAAATTTATTTTTGAAACCGTTAACAGATCAAACTAACGTTATACAAGCAAGTATAACTGGGCAGCATTTAGGAAAGCACACGATGTGTCTGTCCGTGCTGTTTTCGCCGTATCTTACAGTATTTCAGAGAGTCACGTTTTCAGTCTGTGGGTGCAGTGAGGGAGCGAATAAGAGCGAGACAAGAAGAGGCGGGCGGAGAAAGAGCTCAGCCAATCCTGTGCAGTTACTACGCGAGCCAGCGATCTGATTCGGCCAATCGGTGCACTCTGTAGCCGCGAAGAGGCGGGGAGAAAGAAAGGGGCTCAGCCAATTATATCCAGTTACCAGGCGGGCCTGAGATTTGATTGGACCAATGAAATCTCTCCCACCTGACGACCGTCAATCAGCTGAGCTCTGTTCGCGCAGCTTCTTCACTCCAGCGAGAGTTTCGTTCGCTCGCGGTTCGATGTTGACGAGCTCAGTGACCGTTTTTCCGCTGCGAATAAACTCCGGATTAAAAATCGGCTATGCGAATTAGCAAACGAGCTAAACCAACAACAACGGGACCGTTTTCTGATCATCCGAGAGAATGTAGCGACCACTCGAAGACCTCAGGCAGATTACTTTTTACTTTCGCCCACCTCTGTAGCGAGCTGGTTAGCGAGCTGAGGTAGCTTAAATTCGTTCAGCGACTAGCAGCGTCTAACTTACTTCAGTGTCTGTTAGCTGGGAGTTTGGTTCACTATCACGCGAAAACACAACACCTACGCTGTTGGGCAAACGTGGGTTTAGCGAAACATTATGGTATGGGTCAAAGGGACATTTTACCATTGGAAACGTCCATGAAAAGAAAGAGAGGGCTTCACACTGCCTCGATGTGTCGGCTGGATGTGGACCCCGCTGTAACTGTACTGAAGAAGGAAGTTGAGCCCGGCGAAGAAGATGCCCTTTCCTCGTCGAGGTAAAAACAGTTCTTTATACTTACACAAAGCTAACTTTTATGTAGCGTATCGCTCGCTTTGAAACTGCCGCTTAAAGACAGTACATGTAGCTAGTTAAGGTTCTCGCGCCCCGCTTTATGGAACATAGCTAGTTAGCTAGCTTGGGGTTAGCTCGCTTGCTAATATAACGTTAGCTTGGCTAGCCAGTCGACTTCTCTTTCGGTCACTCTTCTCCGTTGTCGACAGAAAACTTGGTCGATGCTGGACGTTGTTAACAAAACAGTGAGGGTCCGTGTGAGTATAATATGAGCGGAATATTAACCCTTAATCGCTGATGTTTCTCGTGTTTGCGACCAGCACTAATGTTAGTGGTTGTAGTCCACCAATGCGAGGATCTGTTGCGTAATAGGATCAATTTGACCACCTCCAGTCGCTAACGGGGGCTTTAAAAACGTGACCACGACTTTTCTGTGTATGTATAAGGCACCGCAGAGAACTCTGCAGATCTTTGGATTGGTGTCATTTAATGCCTTTTTGATCTGCTTGTTAGGTTTTTATGAGTTTCTTCAGTTCTAGTTAAGTTTCCCAAAGCATACTTCACTCCTTGAGCAGTAAGTTTGTGGGCTGTAACCTCAGCAGCCTGGCTCATGTTGAGGTTTATATGTTTTGCTGTTAACATTAAAGAATAAGGTAATAAAGCAGTGTGTCCTGTACGGTTTACCTATAGACGTACTTGATTAACGAATAATTTGCAAGTCAGATATTTATGACAGACCTTTGTGGACCAAGCCGGGAATTTCAGCATCTTCTAGATCAGACTAGGGGCTGACAGAACCCGTCTTCAGGTTAGGTGACTAACCTCCTGTCTCAGTGCTGTGACTCAGTATCTCAGTGTATATTGGCATTGCCCAAATTAAGACATTCCGCTCAGCTGCCCTGCCTGCCTATTGGTTCATTAGTCAGGTTTTGCCAGACTCTCCTCCGCCCACTCCTTCACTTCCACCCAGTCTATCCCCGGCGCTCTTTTCTTTTCCCTCCTTAACTCGGACTTACTCTTGGACTGTCTGTTCCGTGCTTGCTTCCTCTTAGCTGTTACCTCAGCCTCTGTATATTCCCTGCTATTGATAAAATTCAATATTACAGTCTTTTCCAACTTTTATGATATCAGATAATATTTAAGTTAGCAGTGCAAAACGAATCCCTTCATCACTGGTGATGTGTTCTAAAAGAATGTCTTACAAATCTGCCATAGCTTGTTTTGATTCTGTTTTATTCTGCACAGAGATGCACCGATGTGGGAATTTTGAGCTAATATCTTATAATCCAGCGTATTACGTATCTGTTTATGCTAATGCTGATGCCTGTGTGAAATGTAGAAACTGGGGCTAGATCCACTTGGAAGAAAAGTGTCATTTATTTATGTAGGTTTACAAAGGCAGTAAAATGAATAAAATGTAGTCATTTTAACGTAGCAGCCTATCACCTAATCATTCTAGAATAGAGTAAATATGTACTCAGCTATCGGTTTGAATCATTTGTCCAATCTAAGCATCTGTACAGTTGTGATGATTCTTGCTTTTAAACAATTGTCTGTCAGTATTGAGATGATTTCACTGTCATTTTGCGTAAAACTGTAATAAATTATCTTCAGTTTGAGTTTACTTGGATTTAGGTTTTAGGAGACAGACAGGTGACCTTCCTTGCTTTTTTGCAGTTGTATTCACTACAGCTCATTCTTTTTTAAATATTCTTCATCAGTCTTCGCATCTCTTCCTTGTTTGTTTTTCTCTGGCTTGGTGTCTCTCCCTCCCTTCTGTGCATTTGCAGTATTTGGTTGCACTGTTGTGCATCTTAACCTCTTTGGTAAATTTTTTATGTCTAACATTGATGTATCCTAATGAAAATTAATAGAAAACTAAGTTTAATAAACTAATGAAAAACCAGTGGCAGGTATGGAATGTTTCACAGTGATTAGTGAAAGACTCTGGCTGGGCTTGGCTTCAGCTGGGAAAACGCCTGGGTGTGACAGTGAAGGCCCTTCCTTTTCCTACGATGTGAAAAGCTAGGAGACCAGCCTTGCGAACACAGTTTTACTTAATGTAGCTTTAAGGGTTAAGGTGCATCTGAGAGTAAGACTGTGGACTTTGGGCCCTTTTTGTTGTCTGGCTTGCTTGTTTGATCACAGTAGGAAAAGTTATTTAAGTCTGTGAAGAAGCTGCACGTACCTTTGTCTGGATTGAAGCTGGTATATCTTTGTGTAAAGCTAGTTGTTCATTTTGACATACTGCTGAACATGAAACTAGGTTTTTGTCTGTAAACTGCAATAAATTGAACATGTTGAAATGGGGGGTGGACCATATAAGCTTAAATTGATATTGTTATATAATAATGAAATAATTATGGTGTATGTAATTTACCATTTTTTGGTTCATTATGGTATCATAGTGGTAACAACAGCATACCAGTATTGACTTTTACACTAATACACCTCCCACCCCTACCTGAAGATCCAGTCTGAAGTTTCCTGCTTGGCATTGTAATGGGGTGGGTATGCTTTGTGCTGCAGTGATGTGTCATGGCAATCTTGCTATATTTACTTTTAGCTTTTTTCTACACTATAGACTAATATACAGAATGTATATTAAAGCACATAATACATTCTGTGCACATATTTTGACTAGTAGTATTCTTGTGCCTGGCAAGATCCTAAGGTTACTCCTACTCCATAGCTTATCTGCATCCTCCGGTCCTGTTTTCCGTTTACTCTGTTTGGATGTTGTGTATGGTTTGGGATGGACTGAATCCTTTTTTTTGGTTAAATGATGTCAAACTGGAGGTGGGCAATAAGATGATATTTATCATTATCGTGATAAATTAGGGTGGACGATTTGGGATAAATATCTAATTTCAGTTTTTTGGACTAATATTGCAATTGCAATTTATTTGGCCAAGAAGACCAGAATATCCACTTTTACTGGCTTGAGCACTGAATGTAGTGCGCCAGACTGCCTGTAAATTGTGGTTGTGATGTCACAACACATGGAGGTTTGGTTGCTGATTGGTCTAACTTATCTAGTCAGTTTATAAGCTCTGTGTTATTTGGTTAGATTTCCCCACTTAAAGCTTGAGGACAGACCTCATAAATTAAGTGTTGTGTATTAAGTGTTGTGAAAATGTCTTCAAGTGTTGTGATGCTGTATTTGTGCCATATCGCCCACACCTATATCAAACCGTCCCCAGATATTACCACAGTTTACTCTCTTACTGAGGGTGAATGCAGGAAGGAAAAAACAATGATTTGTGAAAATAAATAAATAAATAAATAAAAAATTGCAAGAAAACAAAAACAAGAAAATGTTTGTTTTACTATTTTTTGATTGCTTGGCAGTTTGATTTTTCATTTTTTCTTCTGCCAGTCAGCCAGCCCACCCATGAGGGGGGACCACAGCACACTAAGCAGGAAAAGATCTTTTATTAACGAGATAAAAACAACTTGAACAGACTTAATGATAGAACAGGGCAAAACCTAAAACCTGACATTAGCTCCCACAATAACATTATTAACCAAAAAATAAATTGGCAAGGTCTTCAATCAGTCACTCTAATGTTAAACCATCAATCTAACACTGATTGCTAATAGTGTTTACCAGTATTGACTAGAATGGTAGAGTGTGGCTGATGCTAGCTAACTAGCATAGCTAGCAGGCTAGCAACCCCACAGACCACAAAACAGGTTTGATTCTGGCTACCTGCAGCAGTTAATTGACTTAAGTGTGATCCTGAAGTTTGAGTCTTTATCCTGTAGTGGAGCATCAGATAGCTGGAATTGAACCTATTCTATGGTGTGTAGATCTGTTAGCCTCCTAGCTAAACTAATGCTAGAATTACATCTAGCACCACTGGCCTAGTTAGCACTGTTGACTGCTGTTGATGTACTGATTGTTAAAGATTTCTCACTGGTTGATATGAACTGAAGATCAGTCCGTCATAATCCCATACCATTTAAATATGGCTGGATACTGTATTACTGTTACACTTCCAGAAAGGTGTGTCAGTGTTATAGCAGCCTGTAGAAAATGAGTTTAGAGTGGGCTACTCATTTACAGCATTTTTAATTGGTTATGCACATGAAAATAGTATTGGTTAAGGGAATGTTTGTGAAAGTGCCTTGTTTGTAAACCAACTAATGCCAAAGAATCAGTGCTTTAGAAAGTCCAGATTGTTTTCTTTTTCTTCAGCAACTAGTTGATGCCAAAATATCAATCTAAGTGCTGTTGTCTGAAAAAAAAAAACACACCAAATATCTGAGCTGTTGAGGACAGTTAATATGAATTTGAGTTGTAGTGAGCATACTCTATGGCACTGCAGACTGTTCATCTTACTTTGTGTTCTCCCCACTTTGATGGTCCTGTCAGGGTTTTAATTAATTTATTTTTTGAGAGAGAGAGAGAGAGAGAGAGAGAGAGAGAGAGAGAGAGAGAGAGAGAGAGAGAGAGAGAGGAGTAGACTCTGCGTGCCACTCAAGCCTCAGCCTCTCATCCGTCACCGTTGCCATGGCAAGCGGACCAAAGAGGCCAGTCTAATGACAGAGGGCCAATTTAAATCACGGTTTCACATTTGCTACCTTGAGGGACCAAGCGACATCCACACCTGCGTTAGAGTCACAGGTTTATTTGGAACAAGGCAAAATCCAGGGGCTTAATCCTAAAACTAAGGAATGGCTGGAAAATCAGATCACGCTTTTGTATGTAACACCACAGAAATATTTTTTTCATGTTTTCATGAGCTCTTCTTTCCACTGTAAAACCGTTGGAATGTGTTGTTTTGCAGTAGACTGGGTGTTCAGTGTGCTGCTGTTCCATTTATAGCTTGCTGTTGCTGACAGAGACAAGCTGCAGACTGTGCAGCCCCTTCTCCAAGTTTGCTATGTGTTCTTCCTGGAATTCAGCTGCGAAATGTACAGAAATATAAGTGTCCTTTCTAAGCCTTGTAACTTGTTTGTGTGTGTGGGAGCTGGTCGGAGAAGCACCTATAGAACTGAACGGGAATGATCCAGCCGTACACTGCTGGTGTGGGTGATTATATAACAACTAGCCTTGCCATGACACAATTGAAAACTGCAAAACAAATGTACAGACTATGTTCAGACAGAAATTCCACTTAAACTAACAGTCTCTGTATATCGTTGCCATCATATCGAAGACTTGTACCTCAGAATAAAAGTTGCCATAAAGTTAACAGGTTTTCTTTGGACAGTCAAAGTATACTGGTATCAAAGCTTGATTGGAGTGTTGGTGCACAGACCTTTTGATGCATTTCAAATGGTCATTCAGGGAAAACAGTTTAGTTCTTTGTACCTGTCAAGTGAACAGAATTGAGTTTGGGTTTTATAGAAATCTCATTTATACCAGATGAGCTCAGAATCGGGCCATTTCTTATAACAATCCCAGAGTACATACATTGTGAAACGTATCAGTCTTTCTGCTGAACACAAAGGAAAGGTCTCCACTAGGCTTCCTGGGCTCTCTGCAGTAAAATGGAGCAGTCTGCGGCCAGAGCTGCGGGGGATGTCTTCCTGCGTGCAACAGCGTGATGGATGGATGGAGGAGGCTGAGCCACCCACACTAGAGCGAGTGCAGAGAGGGATGGACAGCCTCTACCATTTACACCCCCTCTATACAAGATCTCCATAGGCAAAGCGACCGGCCGATGGTGTCATGTTGATTAAAACTACACTTTTCAAAACGTACTTAAAAAAAATTCCTTATTTACTTCAACAGTGCGTGGAAATATATTCAGGTTTTCCCCTACAATCAAGATCTCGTCATATTAGTAATTGAGTTATCACCTGATCATTTCGATGATTAATCGACTAATCAGGATTTAAAATAATAAATAAAAAGGCCAGACAATAAATATGGACTTAAATTAACATGTACAGCATTTTTAAAGAATCCAGAATACTGTATCGGAAAGTATAAACTAGGGTGAGGGTAAAAAGTGTGTGAGAAAGATATATATGCATGCTAGAGGGACAATTGAAAATATGCTTTATCATGCAAACTACCAGCTAATCTTTGTCAATTTTTAAGAACATAGTACACTTTGTTTTAATAATAAGGTTTTTCTTTTTTCAGATGAAATATCATGACAGCCCAAAATATATGTTGACAATAGGTCTGTTTTAGAATTGTTAAAGCACTGCGAGAAGGGAGCCCTGGAGAAGACCATGCTTTTTTGAGCCTACTGCAGGCACGGGCATACAAGCACACTTCCACTATCCAAGAAGTGTCCATGAAGCTGGGTTTTATGGGACCAGTGGTTCACGCTTCTTTTTAGTCATGTGTTATGTGTGACCGATATTGGTGAAATTTTTGTCTTAGAATTGGAATAGTATAGACCAAGCTAGGTTTCAAAGATGGATCATGAACTTGAGCTTGTATTGTAAGCCTATGGAACAGATTGCCCATGCTTTAGCTGAGACAGATGACATGTAATGGTCAGATAGAGAACTACATGTTCTGCCCACAAATAAATAATTGATTAGACATTGCTCATTAGCTTGAGAAGCTAACCTTTTTGTGCCAATAATTTATAAGCCTAAATAGGTTAAATAATGATACAGGACCAAGGTTTTGCACAATATGGAAGAAAAAAACAGTGTTAGGAATATTAATGTTTTGCCTTGCAAAATATTAAAAACAAAGTGCTGAATCAACTGTATGACATGGTTTAAGACTGGCTTCCACCACGGGCCTAAATGTTGTGTGTTTTAATTGGTTTGTAACACCATTGTTGCAGTGTCCAGTATGCCTCACAGCATTTCTCTCTCTTCCATTGAAGGTACATGCTGGGCCGTGGGGTGAAGCGCAAGCTAAGTGACTGCGAGGATCCTGCGCTGGGCCTACCATACCCCCAGCAGAGGCAGCTGGTGCTGGATCTGTGCCTGGACAAACTTCAGAGCTGCCAACGTCGCGCTGAGCCCAGCCTTCACCGTTCTGTCCTGCTGGCCAACACCCTCAGGCAAATCCAGCAGGAGATGAGGCTGGAGGGGGGAAACTGCTTACCTCCAGCGCCACCTGCCCCTACGCTCCTTCATGCCTCCACGCCACGCCACATCCCTGAACTGCCACCTGTGTCTTTAGACTGTCCTCCCCTTCTCAGTGGATCACTGTCCCCATCTGATTCCCTAGCAACAAGTGAGGACGATGAGGCCCAGTTAGACTGTGCTGAAAGCAAACCACTTTATTCATCCCTCTCAGATGAGGTAGACGAGAGGCCATCTGATTCACTGTTTGGTTCATTCGAGATCACAAATTCCACCAGCTATCTGACGGACCTAGCGCTGGATGACATCTTTGAGGACATTGATACATCTATGTATGATTCATCCGACATCTCTGTCCTAGCGTTCCCTGCCCCGCGAGGCAATGGTGTGGCCTCTGGGATAGGAGATGAAGGTCTCAAGAACTTTTCTAGCTGCACCTCCAACACCCTGCAGCTTTGCCTTTCTGACCTCAGTGACCTGGACCACATCATGGAGATCCTTGTGCGCTCCTGAACCACTCAACACACACAATCCTTTCTCAGATAGACATCCCAGTGTTTTGAAGGGGATGTGAATAATGAAATGTTTAATTAAAAAAACAAATACAGTTTTTTTTTTATTTATTTTTATACAAAGAACTGATATATTTATAAGAGGAAAAAAGACTGGCATGACACATACTCACTGTAGGATGAATGCACATTATTCTGACTTTTCAGGTGGTCAAGCTTAGGCAGCCATCTTTTGTATTTAAGCAAACTAAGATGTATATGCAGGGACTTTGAGACAAAGTATTACCATTGAGACTTATTTATACTGGATAGTCACTCACGTTTATGAATTTTGAAGAAAACAGACAACTATGTGAAAACTAGGTGGATACATTCTAGCTTTTTGATGATACTTTTATTATTTTTATTTTTATGAACTGATCCCGTGAGTATTTCTCAAGCATTAAATTTACTGTCATTAATTGTGGTGGATCATAACATGCACACTCAACACTCACACTACCTCTCAAAAACCAAGAGCAAGCTCTCTCCCTGTACAACAATAGTCATGGAACTTGTCTTTCAGTGGTTGTTTTACAGTAAATTTTAAAAAAGACTGGCAATGATCTGTGATGTCAGCCCATGAAAGACCTCAGAAATATTCAGCCCAAAGCAACTAAAAAGGAATATTTCCATTCAGAATTTGTCCTGCATTTGCTTTCATTTTCTGGATCCTAGAGGGGAATGAATAACCTCATGTGGTCCTTGAAGGGTTTTATTTTGTTATTTTATTTTAATTTTTTTGGGGAAGTAATTTTTACATCATACGTGATTGTCAGATTGCAGACACTGTTGAACCCTTCACATGAACTTAGTGCCTACAATGGAGGACGAAGACTGGCGCTGGTGGAAGTGCACACTGTGGACCCACACGTGGACTTGCCTGAACCTGTTTCTCTAACCCCACTATTTCTATCTTCTTCTATGCTGATTGTTTTCACGCTTCAGTAGGATTCTAAAGAAGCCATTTCCTCGGATGTCGTACACATCTGCTCCCACCCCTTGCAAATTCTCTGCAAAAACAATTGTGGACGTCTGTGGATCTTGTGGTCAAGCTGACCAAGCCAGAATGTCCAACCGTAATATCCTCAGACATGGGGCTCTATCCAAATCCTTCACCCTCATCGTGTTTATTGCTTCACATGAAGTATGGGGCAGTATGAGGTACACTAGTTGTTTAGTAGCATGGTTGCCAGACCCTGCAGATCTGCCCTGCGTAAAAGTAAGGATGCACCGATCACCACCGATGCTAGACACTGACCTTATTAAATGGACCGGCCTGTTTTGATCAATCTGTATTTGATAGTGTTTTCTTTTGTCACAATCATTAAAAATTGATTACTACTTTGTCATTTTACTTGACAGTAGTTATTTTTTTTATTTTCTGAAGTGAAATATAATTCCAGCTTTGTTTTCTTGCACATAGAACTATCCCGAATAATTCCACACAGTGAAATGTGTAGATTATAGACTGACTGGTTTTAGATTGGTGTGATCGGTGCATCCCTGCATAAAAGTGCATGACATGGTCAGGTCTTTACTGATCTTGGAGCATGGAAGAGTCCTGTGGCATAAGCATGATGTTTGTATTGAGAGAAGAAATGATAGAGGGGGAGGGGAAGGAGTAGAAGGGGGGGTTTTGAGAGAGAGAGAGTGAGAGAGAGAAACAGAGAGAGAGAGAGAGAGAGAGAGAGATTAGGAGGGGGTTAAAGCTCGAAGCTCCTGTCACGCGGAGGCTCTTGCTTGTGGAAAAGGCCACATTGAGAGTTTCACAACAACAGCTGGTATGTGTGTGTGTGCGCGTGTGCACATTTGAGTGTGTCAGTGCCAAACCCCACCCCCCAAAAAGGGGCCCCAAGGGCTCTATTCTCCTCCCACCCAATCAGAGTTAGTTAGGGGAGGAGTTGCAAGCAACTCAGAGTAAAACGCCTTCCCTGCTCAGGACTCTCACTAACACTAGCGAGTCATATCTCTCAAGAAATGTCTCAATGTTTTAACTTTTTAAGGCTCACCAAAAAAGAAATAATAATGCTCTTAACCCAGTACACTTGAAGTATGTATGTGGGTCCGTAATTGAATTGTTCACTGTCATAATCAACATGCAAATGATGTAGTTTCATAGTAATAGTTGGTGAATATGAATTAATAATGGAGTTATAAGCTTAGTGTTCAAGCAGCTGTAATTTGGGACTCATTTGTATTGTCACTGAAAATTCAACATTTTAGATTTGCAAAAATTGACTTGGCAGCCAGCAGCAATAGATATGGTTCTTTTACTAACACTAGTCTTTCAGCATAAACAGCAACTTTTTTTTCCCTCCTCCCTTCTCTCTTCCTTTAACTCAAGCTCACAAACATACTCCCCACCCCCCCTCACAAGACAGGCAGAGCCACAAGGAAATCTGACCCCTAATGAAGTTTACACTCGGAGTTTGCGGTAGCATGCTCTGAGATGGTGTTAAAGAAAACTATAAACCCGAGACTTATGTAATTGCACCCAGCAGCGTTTATCTAAGTGGTGTATTTTTGATTGTGAGAGCTGTGTATCAAAGTGTATAGCTTTGTAAGCTTAAGGTTTTTTTTTGGTTTTTTTTTAATTATTTTTGTTTGTCTGTTTGTTGTGAGCATATATATATATATATATAAACATAATTTGTATATGTTTTTGTTTTTCTTTCCATGTAAGTGTGAATTTTATTTGAAGTTTTTGGTCTGTTGATGACCAAAGATTGTGAGATAATTTATTGCATTTATTTAAGAGTGGAAAAAAATTTCTGTAGGACGATTTATTTGTTTTGTAGCAGGGCGTCTACTTCACCTCTTCTGAGTAATAATTACATAATGTGTGTAAATAGTTCATTCAGATTTTGAAGAGATTATTATTATTATTATTATTATTATTATCATTATTATTATTGAAGGTATTTGTAAAGTTTGAAACTGTGCTCATTTGAATGACTGTGGGGATCCTTTTAGAGTGAATTTTATTCAGATAATCTTCCTTTGGACCAGGCAGTTAATCTGGCAGCTCCTTACACTGTTTTCACACTGAAATGACTGACTGCATTGAAAAAAAAAACAACATTCTAGCCTTATTGGTGTACAGTCACTGAAATGTTATTAGGCATTTTTAGACAGTTATTTCCCCATTTTGCTCAAGATTCTCTTCTCTGTTTTAATGAATGGGTTAAGATCATGTTCAGGTTTTAATTTGGTATTACCAACAAACAGCTGCCTGATGAATCCACTGAAACAGATGGAATGGTACTCAATCAGTGTCATTGTAGAGGCATAGCACATGTGTTTTAATGTACAGAGCTTAACTATTGAACTGCCTTTTGATGATTCATAGTAAAGCACCGGTTGCACAAAACGTTCTTTTAAAAGAGTATATAAATACACCAGTTGAGTGAAAGAGTCTATGTTTCGGTGAGTAACCTTTAATTAGAGCATAGAATGACAAGCTTTAACCCTTTGTCATGTTTATAGTTTGGCCATTTTAGTGAAGTTTAAAGAATTATCCTAATGAAATTGTAAGATGGAAAAACCTCAAATGTCACTTTTGTCCCAAGTGCAATATAAATGTAAAGCGCTGTCTGACCTATTTGCAAATGATACCAGTATGTTTAACTTTATATAAAGACAATTTTCTTAAAATGGACTGATGACTTTGCACCCTAAATTGCATTGTTTTCAGACTTTGTGCTCGGTCTGGTCTGTAGCTTGGTTTGTAGCTTTCTGTTCTGTAAATAATGAAGCATCTTTTTTGCATCAGTCATATTCTATGCAATGCTACTGTAGCAGGTCAGTATGTCAGAATAAAAACTGAAATAAGAGAGAATGTGTCATTGTGTTTACTCTGCTTGAGAAATGTGTCATCCACAACAAAAAAAAAGCATCAGAGACACGTTTATTGGCACAGTGGTGCGAAGGCTGATTTCTTTTAAGTGCTGACACTGCACAGTCGTCATGACAGCATTTTAAAATGTTAAATTGCTGCCTTTTGAAGAATAAAAAGATATTTCTGCTGTTGAAAAGTTTTCCCCTCCTGTCTCCTTGGATGATAGCAAGGCACTCAAGAAAAGAAGTAACAAGAAGAGAATTAGCAAAGTAATTAACCTCATTAATTACTTAACAAGGTAAGAGTTTGTAACTTATTGCTGCATAGACAATATGTATTATAGTAAAGATAAAAAAAAACTAAGATAAAAAATATATACTATATCAACTATTCACAAAAATTAACAATATAAACATAAATAAAAATGCAAAAAAATATATATATATTTACCTGTTAAGGATATTTCACCAAAATATACTATACTATATTCTGCATATTACATGCTTTCACATTACATTCCTATTTTTCCCATTTAAAAATTTTGAAGTATTTTAGTAATGCATTTAAATACAATGTTATAAAATACATATTTAGAAATTAAATTTGAAATCTCATTTGTGTGTATATATATATATATACTAAGAAAAAGGTATAAAACTGTCACTGGGGTGGTACCCTCAGGGGACATCTCAGTACCTTTAGTAAGGGAAATTATATTTTCTAAGTTGTGTTGACTCCACACATCCCATCTAGTCTCCAGGCTTTTTATTTTATTGCTCTATTTTCAAACGTGAGGTTATGAAAAGGTGCAAATGCGTACTTTTCACCTGGGAAAAACTTATTTAGGGTACACAACTGGACCTCAAAACCACTGTTGTACCTTTGAGGGTGCAGGTACACTGTTTATACCTTGATGAATGAAAAATGTACCTGCACAGAACCTTTATTTCTAACAGTGTATACGTGTATGTATATAGAAGATAGATAGATAGATAGACAGATAGATAGATAGACAGATAGATAGATAGATAGACAGACAGACAGACATAATCTTTGACCCTCTCCCCCAGGACAAGACCCATGTTATAGAACCTGATATACAGTTGCTGAAATATAAAAGTTTAGTGGTGCTGGTCAAATTACATTTAGTTGATTTACTAAGTTCCCTGTTATCCCTGAAATGATTTTCACTTATAGTATCAACAACATTTCATTTGACCAGGGAGTGTTTATCGTATACAACTGCATGCTAGATGGAATATTTCATTCTTTCAACAAAACTACTGAAATTTTCGTAAGTCATTGGAGCAAAAGTTATTCATTTAATTCTATATGACTGAAACTATCCAACTTGTGGACTTCGTCAGCGACGTCATCAGATATGCATTCTACAGAGGCGACGGGCAGTGACTGTGCCAAGCCTAGTCTGCTTCTGAGGCTGCTTACTGCACACTTTCCAGAAACTTTCTGTTCTAGGGTTATTAATAATTCAGGAACATATAGTATGGAGGTGTCTACTGCAGTCAGCCCCACAGACAGTTTTCCATCTCTGCTTTTCTTTTTTCTCCCTGTTCTTTAAAAGAACACTGCAATGTTTTTCTAGCCTGATTTCCATTTTTGTGCAACCTACAGTTGATTACCACAGCCAACGATTTCAACACTTTTCCCTGTTCTTAGTAAAAGATCAGAAAACCCAAAACATCTTTATAATAAAAGCAGATGCTTTAGCAATTTTTTGGCTTCTGTCATAAGTTTTTTTTTCTAATTTTCTGTTCTTTTATGAAACACACCAAAATTAATGTATAAAAATTAGCACTGGCTATTCTGTCCAGCAATCCAATGAATTTTTGATTGTTGTATGCAATTAACAAGCATGCTTCAGTGCCCAAAATCAGCCAGGTGCTTAAAAAATGAAATATTTGTTTAAAAAAAAGTGCATTATTAGGAACACTGCTGTTGTGGTGACATTAGGTGCTATTTAGCTTCAGTAGTCATAGCCTCTTGGTATAACACTAGCTTATTTGACATATTTTATTTCAGACTTTATTTTACAGAGGAAATCATTAGAAAATTTCACTTGTTTTATTTCATAGAGGAAATTGTTGGGAAATTCCACTTGTTAAATCAGTGAGCCTCAGTCTTCAACAGTTGTTCAGGTGTGCTTCTGCTTTGCAGAAATAAAAACCTGCAGCCACACGGGCCCTTTGCGGATAAGACTGGACACCCCTGCGCTAGGTGGATCAGCATAGTTAACAAACCATCAGACTAGCTACAGCAGTGATTACAGTTAATGAATTCTGACAAAATCTGATTGGATGCAGTTAGTTCTGTGCCCAACGTGAGACAGGCTTGTAGTTTTATTGGTCAAAATGTATAGTGTTCTGGCAAGTAGTCAAATTTTTGTATAATTAAATCATTGAGTAAATGTCAGTAAAATCATTCAGAGTGGTTTGATGTGAAGTAGTGCACTGTATAGAAGCTTAGTGACTCAGATTTCTTTACAGTACGAATATAGCTATTTTATCTAGCTATTATATATTATTATAGCTACAATATCCCAGGCATCAGGTAGTGTATTTGTAACTATTTAATGTGACAACTTTCTGAGATTTAACTTTTCAAGGCATTAAACTCGTGTCTGGTTTCTACCACCTCCACTGTGAAAAACGCTAAGTGCTGTGTAAGTTTCTCTAGAACAGAGCATTTCACATCTCTCCATCATCTCAACCATGAAAAATCAGTGGAATTCCCCTTTAAGTTGAAAACAGTTGGAGTAATCCTTTAGATATATACATACACTTACATGCATAAAGCAGTGAGCAAACTAATCAGAACTTGCTGAACATTTCAAATGCTTGATTCTCTACCTCTGCCCTCTTGCCAGGTTATTGGGACATTGCGGGACACCCTGCAGTTCTCCAATGGGCTGGGCTCAGTGGTTGGCCATGTTTGATGGCAGATGCCAAGAAAGAACAAAGTCATGCATGATAGCAGGGAATTCAGCCTGCTCTGTCAGAGAATAAGACCAATGCGGCAGAAAAAGTCTTCCTGACAGTACCTTAGCAACAGCACCCTGACTCTCACACCGCTGTTACACAGGCTATACTACAGCATCATTTCAGATGGTTTTGGTAGGAGCTGACTCAGAACTCGGCTTATACAATGTTTACTTCTAGCACACTGAATTCTGCTTTACATGCAAATGTATAGTGTAAACATGTAGTGCATTTTGCTCCATCACTTTATTTTACTCTGTACAAAGAACCACCATACACAACATACTGGATACAGATATTACATTAAACAGATACACCAAACAACGTAGACACATCCAACAGTACAACATACCCAACAATATCAATATACCCAACAATACAGTAAACATATTGATGCTTTCTGTATAATAGACATCTAAAATTGGTTCTTCTGTAACAGAAAACATGATTTTTAATTACTGTCACACCACACCTACATTTTAAAGGGGAATACCACTGATTTCACAATTTCTGCATGATTAAAACATTAACACATAAACTCATTCAGAATGGTTTGATGTGAAATGCTTTGGGATATTAGTGCGTAACCTGCACAACAATGAAAGCAACATTAATGCTGAATGCATTTTGGAGCAACATATGCTGCCTTCTAGATGACATCTTATCCAGGGACATCCAAGCTTATTTCAACATGACAACACCAAGTCACATTCTGCACGTTACAACAGCATGGCTGAGTAATCAGAGAGTGTGGGTGCTAGACTGGCCTGTCTGCAGTCCAGAACTGTTTTTCATTTAAAAAATGTATGTTATTGAGCTCAAAATATGACAACAAAGGCCTTAAATGGTTGTATAGCTGAAGACTTGTACAGAAAACCTTCTTTTATGTTTATTAAGTGCCATCCCAACTTTTTTGCAAGTGGGTTTGTAGGTTCACTGGTTGTTTTGGATAGTAAAATAAGATGTCTATTTTTGTGTTGTAAAGAAATCAGTAAGTTGGTAAGTTTCTCTACAATGAACTGTTTCTCGTAAAAACACTGAATGACTTTGTTTATCTTGATTTAATTATATAAAACTTTTGAAAAAAAAAGGGTGGAATTCCCCTTTAAGATATGAGTACAGGCCTAGTTGATATGTAGTTAAGCCAACATAATGCTGGATGATAATATCATTATATTTTCCAAGCAGATCACAGTATCAGATGATGTTTAAGTCAGCATTAATAAGTTAATGAACCGAGTT